TGTAAAATAGTGTTGCCAGCATTATGCTAGGGCTTTTTATTTTTCCAGAGGAATTAGAACCTGAGACTGAAGTTCAGTCATTTTAACACCATTACAGTTAGTTTGTCCCCAAAGAGTGAAACCTTGGAACCTAATAAACCGTGGTAGGAATAGGGGTGGGTGGGGGTGGGGCTGGCCTAATTGCACAGGGAAGGCTGGCCCTGGGCTCAGCTCTTAGAGCCTCCTTTCATCCAGCATTGGGCTGGGTCCATAACTAGTGGATCTTTTTAGCTACTGTTGCCTGGTCAGTTCCTGTAAGCTCATCAGAGCCAATAGATGAGGTCTCAAGAAAGATGAAAGGGGCTCTCACCTAGACCTTTTCTTTATTTTAGGTTCAGGCAGTTTTCCGGTTTTCTCTTCTTCGGTATTGGGGATTGAGCCCCTGCAACGGTTAGTAAAGCTAGACCAGAAAAGTCTCTTGAAGTGTTCACTCAGTTCTGCTTGTAAGTGACAAGGTCGGCGGTGTTCTGGGGCTTTCTGCATCTCCTAGTCCCTCGTCTCACTGCTTGCACAGGGCCTCCCCTGCCTGAGACAGCAGCTTTTAAACAGGGCAAGACACAGATACTGAAGAGAAGAGCACGGAAGACAATAGCTGGAATAGACTCATTCTGGACTCCTTGTACGCCCGCACACTTGCGTGTTGAAGACTGCTGTGAAACATAGCTCCGTTGTACATTGAGATCTAGACTAGGCCATGATCCTTGAGCTGCCCCGTTACAGGTCATGCTTCAAAAACTGCCCATTTCAGGAGTAGTAGCACAAGCCTGCCAGGACACACTGTCCCTCGTCTGGAAGGGTGAAAACCCTAGGTTAGGGAGGGAGCAAGTCGGCCCTGGAGCTGTCTGCGCTGGACATGGCTGTCAGGCTTCCATGCCCTTAGCAAGCAGCGCTGTGCTCCTGACCTCTAAGTAAGCCCATCAGTGGCTGTGCTGGCTCCAAACCTTCAGGCACAACTTTGTTGCCTTTGCATTTGAATAATGCAGGGATTGTCTGTTGCCCAAGCAAAAGATCTTTCTTTAGATGTTCTTAGCCCATGCAGAGCTCTCAATTAGAGATCAAGGGTCTTATTTCACTCTATGACTCAGCAGCCAGGGCCACGCCTTTCAGCTGGAGCCACAAAGCTGCTGGGTGCCGTTCACAAATGCCCCTTCCTAGGCCTGCCCACGTAGAGTAACAATCAAGGCATCTGCACACTCACGTCAGCCCTCCTCTGCTAGCCAAGCCTCTAACCCAGTGGTTCTCAACCTTCCTAATGCTTCAGCCCTTTAACACAGTTCCAGGTCCGTGGACCTGTCTGCCTGTGGGTGGACCGCCTGGAGACAGATCAGGGAAGTTGGTGTTTCCTGATGGTCTTAGGCAGCTCCTGTGAAAGGGTCATTCGACCCCCAGAGGTCGCAACCCACAGATTGAGAACCACTGCTCTAAAAGAGCTCAGCCTATATTCATCAACAGGTGGGACCCTGGAATCCCAGAGGTTCCCTTCATCCCTCACCTCATCCCCATCACTGGGGTGAGAACTTTCTCTGCGGAACTCCACGGGCTCATAAACTTCGGTGCCTTCTCTTCCAGAAAATCTTCACCGTCTATCACTGTCAACACTCTCAGACCTAGGACTTCGGTTTGTCTTGACAAGCTGGTGGTACTGGCCCAGTCCCAGGCATGCTGGCAAGATAGCAGCAGACTGGGGTTCGAGGCAAGGGGCTCAGCCTCCTGGATACACACAGGCAGCTTGTGTCGGTCCTCCGCGCCCCCAGGCCCACGGGGTGACACTTGCGCCTGGATCCTGGGTTGTGTTGCATTTGAAAATGCTCTGCATGAAGGATGGCCTACACTTCGAGCAGACAGACGGTTAAAGCTGCCCTCTCTCCTCAATGTTACTTGATAGGCGAACAATGAGATGGGGAGGGCAGCCTGCTCTTGGGGCCACAGCCACAGAGGGCAGCTGTCGGTGCGCAGGCCCTGGAGCAAGGGCCGCAGGGCAAAGGGCCGACTTGCTTCCTCCCTGCAGCTAGCCTCTCCTCCCACCCTCCTGGACGAGGGACAGTGCGGCCTGGCACTCCTGTGCTACTACTCCCCGTAGGTGACAGGCAGCCTCGGCTCCTGAAGTGGACATGGGGCGTGATCTGTAGTGAGGAAGGAAAGCTAAAGGTACCAGGTACCGAGGGAGTGGCGCCCGGATCTGGATGTACAATGGAATTTGTGTGGTGGCCCCAGGACACCAGTTTCACAACTGTCAGTCCCCCCCCACCCCCATTCAGGGACCTCCACAGAGAAGTAACGGTGCCACGTGGAGATGGATCCTCTGCTGGTCCCCACAGTCCCCTCCCCGGTGTTCCAACAGAAACAAATGCAGTAGAACCCTGTGAAACCCGGGGACTTTGGACCAGCTGAGGCAGAACCGGAAGACCTTTTCCTAGCCCAACATCTCCCCTGCTGGGTGTAGCCACTAAGTACACTAATTTCGTTTTTGAGGATATTACAGGTATCGAATTTATGCCTTTTCTATCCAGCCCTGTCCAGCTCCTCCCATGTGTTTGCCACCCCCTCTTGAAATCATGACATGTATTATTCTTAAATGCACACGTATGATACAAACACTGGGTCCATTTAGTGTTCCTTGTAGGTGTTTTTAGGGCTGGCTGCTTGGGATTGGGTGACCTGTTGGGGGCTCATGCCTGGAGAAGACTGACTCCTTCTCTTAGCGTCCATTAATTGCCTGTAGCTTGTCATCTAAGCATGAAGCCTTGTGAGGGTTCCCTCATCCCCACTGGAATGTCAACCGGAAGCATACCCGCTTGGTTTTTGTTTTTATTTTTATCTGTGTGTCTGGAAGTGTTCTGCCTGCATGTATGTATGTACACCACATGCGTGCCTGGTGCACATAGTTTCCAGAAAGCCGAGAAGCAAAAGCCCAGTCTTAGCTGTGGCTGTTGCTTTTCTCCTTCCTGGGAAGCATGAACTCCTCCTCGAGGCACCCGCAACCACGCCATCCCTGATGTCAGGAACGGTTGAACTGTCACACACACTTAAGGAGACAAATGCATTTGGTTATCCTCATTCACCAACACTGAGGACTGTGCCTTGGAAAAGAATCTTTGCATCAGCATCCACGGGGCTCAAGTTGCAGAAAAATCAAAGCAAAGCCCTTGTTAGAAGACTGGCTGAATTACACCGAAAATTCAAGTCCCAGCCTCGGACGGTGTTGGCGGTTAAAATAAGGGCATTAGTTGTTAAAGAATGGGATCCTGTGCCTTGGCGGTGTGGGGGAGACCTCACTGAGGCTGAGAACGTGGAACCCTCAGATTCTCAAGGGTTCATCTCACCCGAGGAAGTAACCTCCCCACCCTCATCAGAAGATGCACTCCCCCTCACCCCCCTGAAATATTGCCCTTTCCACCTTTGACTGAGGAAAATAATGATTCATTGTCTCTAGACCTAGACCCAGACTTAAGGCAAAGCAGGCTCCTAGAGGGGAGTTGGAAATTGTCATCCACAAGAAAGCGCACTACACTGCAGAAGCACATACCGAGCTTGCTAAGTCATTCAAGCAGATGTCTGGGGAATGTGTGTGGGAATAGATCGCTGTGGGATAACAGCAGAAGAAATGTAAAACAGGATTGGGTTGAATTGATTGCTATGAGTCCGCTGAGTGGAGGTTCGGGTTTATTATGGAAGCTCACAGTTGTTCTTTTAAGGAGGTGTCAAAAGTCTGAATGGCTGGCTGAAGCCTTTGGCAAAAGATGGCCTACTGAGGGGGAGTTGGAGATGCCTGCTATCCCTTGGCTTGGTGTTGAAGGGATTTTCAGGCCCAGGGAAGTTGCAGTGGTGACGTGGATATGCTCTGTAAAACCTCATCCTCCGCAATGGGAAGGCCCAGAAGGCCTGCCCTTCACTAACCCTGCCATAGTGAGACAGCACCAACGCTTCTGAAGAGCGTTGTTGTTGCCCTTTCCCTTGTGCAGTGGATAAATTAAATGCAATGGGTTTAGTTGGGCCCCAAAGTAGTGGGCATCAGGTGGCAGCACCGAGTCACAAAAGGCGAGGTGATCATAGTTACTGCAGTGGGTGGCATAGACAAAGCATGTTCACAACGGCCAGACCCACTGATTCACAACCTTCCTCATGCTGTGAACTTTTAATCCAGCTCTGGGTACTCCTGTGAGGGACCCGCCCTCCTATGGGTGGACCCGCCTGGAGATGGGTGGAGGAAATGTGGTTCCCTGGGAAAGGGTTGTTTGACCTCCAGAGGGGTTGCAACCCGAGGGTGGAGAACCACTGGCCTAGCCACTGGCAGCACAGGCAAAGCGATTTTTAGGGTGGCATGACTTGAATGGACTTTTGGTGTTTCCAGGCGGGGAGCCTACAGTGTTTTTGATCTGTATAAGCAGAAAAATACTAAAAAATCTCAGCCCCAGCCAGGCAGGCAGATCTCTGTCAGTTTGAGGCCAGCCTGGTCTACAAAGCTAGTCCAGAACAGCCAAGGCTACCCAGAGTCTCAAAAAATCAAAAAAAAGAAAAAAAAAAAAAAAAAAGGCTCTACTCATGAATCAATTTCCAGATGAGCCAGTTTTCAGACACAGAATCCCATAAAGGAAGGGATGGCCAAGTTCTCCTGGGAAACTCTTTGATGAAATACCTCAGAGTTTTACTGTTATCCGTATGTGGCTCTTCTCCAGAAGGACCTATGGGTAACTGTACACTGGGGAAAATGATCAGACTTTCCAGGGACTACAGGATACTGGTTCTGAATTGACACTAATTCCAGGAGACTCCAAAAAAACGTTGGCTTATGGAGGCCAGATGATTAACGGAGTTCTGGCAGATGTCTAACTCACAGTAGGTCCAGTGGGTCCTCTGAACTCATCCTGTGGTGATTTCCCCAGCCCCAGAATGTATATTTGGGATAGAGATACTTAGAAGTTCCCTGACTGGGGAGAGAGGACTGTTAGGGCTGGAATAACTAACTGGAAGCCTTTAGTGTCGGCCCTGGTGAGGAAAATGGTAAATCCAAAACAGTGTGCCATCTCTGGAGGAACTGCAGAAATTAGTCCCACCATCAAGGATTTGAAAGCTTCAGGGTGGTGCTCCCCACCATATGGATGGTTTCTAACTCTTATCTGGTGGGTGCAGAAGACAGATTGTGGAGAATGATAGTCAACTATCAAAAACTCAATGAAGCAGTGACTCCGATTGCAGCTGTTGTACCAGATGTGGTGTTCCTCCTTGAGCAGATTAACACATCTGCTGGTACAGGGCATGCAGCTGTTGATCTATCAGATCCCCTTTTCTCCGTACCTGTCCATAAGGACCAACAGAAACAATCTGCTTTTAGTTGGAAAGTCCAGCGGTATACCTTCTTCACAGGGTCACCTCAAGGTTAAACTGACTCTCCAATCCTGTGTCCTAACTTACTTAGATGGGATCGTGATCATCTGTGTCTTTTACAAAATATCTCACAGGGGCACTGTACTGATGACGTTATGATGCTGGACCAAGTGAGCAGGAGATGGCGACCACTTTGAACTCACTGGTAACGCATGCCCATCTGAGGATGGGAAATAAATCTAACCAAAACCCAAGGGCCTTCTGCCTCAGTGGAATTCTTAGGAGTCCAGTGATAGGGTCGTGCAAAGGCACTCCTTCTGAGGGGAAGGCAAGGTTACTGCACCCGGCCCCTCCCACCACCAAGAAAGAAGCACAAAGTTTAGAAGGGCCTAATGGGACGCCGAAGGCAGCGCAGTCCTCACGTGGGTGTGTCACTCCTGCCCGAGTAACAAGTGACTCAGAAAGCTGCTAGCTTTGTGTAGGGCCTGGAAAAGGAGAAGGCTCTTCAACAGGTCCAGGTTGCTGCATCCTGCAGGGAACCATGGCCCTGGCCTGGCCTAGCTGCCCCGAGAGGCATGTGTCATGGGTTTTGTAGGTTGGAGTCCATGGCTCCTGGGGCACAGGGTGCCTTTCAGTTCCTGAGGAACCAATGCGCTCCCTCGGGCAGTGATGTGTCCAGGCCGCTTTGTGTGTCTCCATATGTTCCCTCTGAAGCCAAGGAAGCGTGGAAGCTCGTCACGACAGTTGGTCTTAGACATTAATCTTGTGTACTTGTGTAGCTTGCAAACAGCATTGTCTCCTGGCAACTAGGGGATTTGATAGATCAACAGCTGCATACCATGTACCAGAATCAACTGTATTGATCCTGGGAGGGTGTAAAAGTGATTTTAGTCTTGCTGAGGCCCCTTTATCCTGAGCCTGAGATTTAATTCCTCAGCCAGCCACCTCAGGTAACCTTGGCTCACTAAGGACGGGTAGGAGCGTACACTCTACCACTTTGACCATTCGGTCCAGCAGACCTGATGGTGCCTGAGCTGTCAGCGGCAGCTGGAGATGCTGGCTGGAGCCTTTACAAGCTCCTGAAGGTGAACTTCAGAAGAGAGCTTGGAGCATCACCTGCAGATAAGTATTCTCCATTTGAGAGGCAGTTCTTGGCCTGCTACTGTTGGGTCTTAGTGGAAACTGAACATTTGGCAATGGGCCACTAAGTTACCATGCAACCTGAGCTGTCCATAATGAGCTGGGTATTATCCGACCCGCCAATTCATTAAGCAGGACGTGCACAGCGGCAATCCATTATCAAATGAAAATGGTATTCGCATGCTGGCCCCGAGAAAGTCATGAAAGCACAGTTACATAAAGAAGTTGCCCAAACACCTATGGTTTCTACGCCCATCACAGTGCCATCTTCTAGCAAGCATGTACCTATAACCTTGTGGGGGTGCCCTGGGATTGCCTGACTGAGAAGAGAAGGCTAGAGCCTAGTTTGCTGACGGGTCCGTTTATACGCAGGTGACACCCGGAAGTGGCAAGCTGCAGTGTTACAGCCCTTCCCGGGACAACTCTAGAAAGACCCTGCAGAAGGCACATCTTCACAGAGGACAGTACATTTGCATGGAAGGAAAAGCTGCCAGATGTGCAATTGTTCACTCTTTCATGGACTGTAGCCAGTGGGTTGGCTGGATGTCCAGGGACTTGGAAAGAACATGATTGAAAAATTGGTACGAAAGACATCTAGGAAAGGAGTGTGTGGCGAGATCTCTCCAGACGGGCAAAGGATATGAAGGTACTTGTGTCCCATGTAAATGTTCATCAGAGAGTGACTTCAGCAGAGGTAGAGTTCAGTAATCAAACAGATTATTGCCTCATCCTGTGGATAGTCAGCATCTTCCCATAAACGAAGTGGCCATGGTGGTAGAGATGGGGGTTATGCATGGGTTCGGCAACCTAGCTTCCACTCCCCAAGGCTAACCTGGCTCCAGCTGCTGCTGAGTGCCAGATCTGCCAAGGGCAGAGACCAACACTGAGCCTGAGCTGTGGCCCCATTCCCCAGGGCAGCCAATCAGTGACACGGTTGCATATTAACTACATTGTGACACTCTTCTGTGGACAGGACAACACTATCCTTTCTGGGGTAGATGCTTATTCTGGTTAGGGATTTGCTTTTCCTGCATGCAGGGTCCTGCCAAAATGACTGTCTGTAAGCTTATAGAATTTCCTATCCACTGTCATGGCATTCTACACAGTACTGTTTCTGACCAAGGACCTCACTTCCCAGCCAGAGAAGTTCAGCAATGGCCCACAGCCATGGAATACCCTGGTCTTACCATTCTCTCCGCCATCCTGAAGCACCTGGTCTGATGGATTACATGGCCTTTTGAAGATACAGTTACAGCACCAATTAGATGGCAGCAGCCTGGAGGACAGGGGCAGAGTTCCCCGAAGATGATATATGCTTTGATTCAGCATCCAATGCGAGATGCATTTTGTCCCATAGCCAGGATCCACAGGTCCAGGAATCAAGGGGTGGAGACGGGAATAGTTCCACTCACTATCACCACTAATGACCCACTAGAAAAGTTTTTGCGTTTTGCTTCTGTGAACTTAAATTCTGCTGGCCTACACAATTTGATTCCAGAGTGGGGAACATTCCTGCCATCCATACTACAAACATTCCACTGAATGGGAAGCTCAGACTTCCCCCTGGCCACTTTTGGCTTCTTAGCCAACAAGGAATTACAGCCTACTCCTTCAGGATTCTGGCCTATACTGAAGACCAGCTGAGACATCCAGACGTGGAATAAAAAACAACTGGATTTTTGGACCTTCTGTTGATAGACAGCTATTATTGGACCACAGCTTTTAAGCCTTCTGGATAGAAAGATAGGCAGGTAGATTGGGTAGGTAGGTGGGTGGGTGGATGGGTGGGTGGGTGGGTAGATGGATGGGCGAATGGATGGATGGATGGATGGATGGATGGATGGATGGATGGATGGATGGATGAGTGGATGGGTGGATGGATGGATGGGTGGGTGGGTAGGTGGATAAGTGGGTGAGTGGGTGGATGGGTGGAGCTTAAACTGAAACATTACAGAGACTGGATTCACAATAATATATGCAACGTGACTTAACTGTACACTGAAACTGTTAAAACTGAAACTTTATATATGTTTTATCACAAAAAAATAAGTTTATGATGTTATAAGGCTTCCAAGCAGGCCAGTTGGCCCAGACACTCAGCAGTGGTCCCTGAGTCATACACAGAGGTTCAGGTTTATTGGTGACAAGCAGCTGCCACTCTGTTCTGAGCCTCTTACCTCCCTACCTGACAGAAAGTATTCCCTCCAGTCTGGCTGTGGAAAATGAGAGAAAGACAGACTATTCTGGTTTGTTCTACTGTTAAAAAAAAAAAGTCACAAGCTAAAATATCCTCATAGAATGTCCAAATGAAGAGAAGGGCAAATATTTGTGGTTTCCCACAATCAGCTTTATTTATGTACAGGTGGTGTTTACAGCTTTAAATTGTACCTAGAAAACTTCAACAAAGTAGTAGGAACCTTCTAAATATATATTAGTATATGATTATGATACTTATTTTCTGAATTTATAGGAATCTGAAATATTTCCATACGAATAAGAAAGGGAAGTAAAAGTAGAACAGCAACATTTACCATCTGCTGAATTCTTAGCTTCTTTGGACATAGACAGACAGACAGGTAGATGACTACTAAAAGGGCCTGGGTGGTCATCGCTCCTGCCTAGGCCTGGCAATACACCACCGGTGTCCCACCTTTTCTCTTCTGAACCTTAGCCAGCCTTGGCCATCAGCTATTGTCCAATCAGGTCCAAAATGAAAACGAAAATGTTGATAATGTCCACGTAGATGTTCAGAGCAGCAAATATGTACTCTTCAGGGTCTACCTCATAATGGTAGTGCCCCCCGACCATCATCTGCACGTCCATCACCAGGTACTTGAAGAGAAGGAAGAACTGTCTGTGTCGATTGCATATATCAACCATGCAAGTGTCCTAAACGATCTGGGGAAGTTATTTTATCAACAAGAACAAGGTAGCGGGCTGAAAATATAGCTGAGTAGGTATGAAGCCCTGGATTCCAGCCCAGTCCCACACATGCCTGCAAGTCTAGCATTCTGGAGGTAGAGACAAGAAGATCAGAAGTTCAAGGGCATTATCAACTACAGAAGTTAAAGGTTAGTCTCGACTACATGAAACTGTCTCAAAAGTAGGGGGGAGGGAGAGAAGAAAGGGGGCAGAAATGAAAAAAAGGAAGAAGAAACAAGATGTAGGAGGTCAGTCACTGCTGAATCAGTCATTGCTGAAGTATCCCAGTTTGCACTCTATGAGAATAAGTATCTTATCCTCTTGCAGCCCACAGGACCAGATCAGTAAACTTTTGTTTTCCAAGTCCAAAAGCCTTTGTGTCTTTTGTCAGTGATGTGGACCAGATGGACAGGGTGAACATTTCACTACAAGACGCCCTATATCCGTGACTTCCCCACACTCTTGCTAGACCAAACCAAAGATGCTTCCCAGACTCAGAGTAAAGACAGTGTTCTGAGAGCCTGGGTGACAGTAAGCCTTGCCATCTGTCTCAGACAGAAAGTGGAGAAGAGGGTGTTCCTGTGTGATTACATGATCCCTCCCTGGCCCCAGCACATTTCAGCTCAGCTGCAATAGGTAAAACTACAGAGCCCTAAGTATTGACAGAAAAAAGTCAGAGCCCTCTCTCACCCTCTAGCCTGGTGGTAAGGTGTAGATCTGGGCTACAGGGGGAGTGTGACAGGGAGACAATGACAACAGGCTGAGCCTTCTGGATGCAGGCTAGACTCGGAGCACAGTGCCATGAACACAGCAACGGGTATTCACTTTGTGAAACCTGTCCCTGGCTGCTGATTCCCAGGCATTCTTCACACAGTAAGAGTCAGAATGGGAAGAGCAGGATGGAGTTACTGTAGAATTTCACACAGATTCACAGCAGGTGGTACCTCACGACACATGGGATAGGCAGGGGTGAACCTAACCCTTGGAGAGAAAGGGCGTGCCAGCGTGAGTGATGGACAGGGCGTCCAACATGAGATGGGGATGTGCTTCCCCTGGCTTGTTGAGTCCCTCCCCCAACTAATTCCAGCACCTCTGGAAGAAAACAACAACAACTCTGCTTCAAGCAAATATATGGTTACACGAAAGGCCTCAGTAGCTGAGCATCCTTCTATACACTGAAGCCCTAAAGAACAAGGGTTTTTCTCTTCCTCTAAAATACAGTATGCCACATAAGAAAGATAACGACCGAGTCATTTCACAATTTGATCAGGTGGTTGGCAGTGTGTCCAGGCAGGCAGAAAAGTGGGAGAGGAAGATGAGCAGGAATCCAGTTGAATCTTGTTCCCTCAGAGGGGACAAAGACTCAGGGTGCCGTCTCAGACACAGCCAAACTCCAGCCACGATCTCAACACACAAGAGCATTTAGAAGTCTGCTGTCCTGCCTCACCCCAAATCACACGCATAAGCACACAGATGTTTGTAAACAGCCAGGAGCGCGCGCGCGCGCACACACACACACACACACAGTGTCCTCCACTATTTGGTGCTGACCTGTCTGAATCTACCAGAGTCTTTCATCCTGAATCAACCTATGTTTGTGGGAAGTGAACTGTGCCTAAAACAGACCCAGGAAGACCTGTACAGGCTGGGCTCTCGGGAGAAAAGGGGAACGGTCACAAATCAGTTCTTGGATAACAGGAGAGATGAGAGAACCAAGTCTTGATCTCATGCATAGCTTTTTCAAGTCTTTTAAAAAACCACACAAAGAGTGACAGAAAGGAAGCTACTGTGGGTCATGTGGTGAGACTACATGAGCCTCACTAGCATTACCATGCCTCAATATGGTCAGAGGTTTTTATTATAAAGCTTTTTCTTGCCAGGCGTGTGGCTCACATCCTTAATCCCAGCACTCAAGCAGAAGCAGGCAGATCTCTGAGTCTGAGGCCAGCCTGTAGCAAGTGTCAGGCCAGCCAGTGCTACATAGTGAGGCCTTGTCTTCACATTTTTTTTTCTTTCAGTCTCAGTGCCACTGAAGCCTCAGTGGGCACAAGGACTTGCTGCACAAGGACATAAAATCAAATTGTCGGTACCAATGTTAAAAAAAAACAAAACAAACAAACAAACAAACAAAAAAACACGGCCACACATGGTCCTGTAACCTCAGAGCTATCAAGGGTAGAGAGGGGAGAACCTGGGGCTTCCAGGGGCTTAGCGCAGGCCCAAGTTCAGCGAGAGGCCCTGTCTCAGAGTAATAAAGGGGACAGTAATAGAGCAGGACACCTAGTGTCCTTCTCTGCTCCGTGCATGCACACCAGCACACACACTTTTTTTTTTTTTTCTTTAAAAACTCCAAGGAACTTTCAAACCCTGACAGGTCTAACTCAGTAGGGGAAGCCTTGCCTGACATAAGGCCCTGGGTTTCATCCACAGCTCTACACACACCATTTTTTTTTAATGTTGTAAGAAGTGTTGAGAAAAGGCATAAGATGGAAAAGCATCTTATTAAGAATAATTAGGGCCTTGTCAAGAATGAATTTGACCCATCTCTACTAATACCCAGAGGCCATTATTGTCGAGAAAAAGGCTAAGGCAAAATATTTAACAGCACGTGACTCCCTCAGTGTAGGTGGTCATGGAGTGATGTGTAAGAACCCCAGCAGAGCTCCTAGAACCAGCTGTGATGTTCACTCCTGAGCAATGGGGAGAAGAGGGAGTTTCGCCTTTCCTTTTGCAGTCCAGTGTTGTTTGAATTTTAAAATATCCACATGTGTTACTTTTAAAACTTTAAATTAACTGCAAAGACGGGACGGCAAGATATGGGACTAAACAAAAAGAAAGGGATTCCCAGGGGCATTCATGGTGGCCTTTGCAGCCCTCTCTGGAGCTCCTGGTATAGAGATGTGAGAGGCTGACCTGAGCAAATGAAGCCACTCTTGTGACAATAAGCTTTGTCTTATTGTCTTCTTAAATATTAACTCTCTCAAGGAAGGTGATCTTTTCCTGTTTTTGTTATACTTGGTGTCTGTGTGGTGGTGTGGACCAAACTCTAGGTCCTATACATGCTGGGAAAGAAGTCTGCCCCAAGCTACAGTCCCAGCCCCAGAATGCAACGCTTATATAGACTACAAAGGCCACGCAGCTCTGATGAGTGACTTTTGGGGTGTGCCTAGTGGATGGCTGACTCTGCTGACCAGCACAGGGCCTGCGAGTGTATGCGCTGTGCTCTTCAGCACAGAAGGAAGCCAGGACTTACCATGGAGAAGAGCAGTGTTCCGAGCGCTGAGTACACCAGATGCAACCACTGCACGGAGAGAATGAGGTAGAGCGTAACAGGGTATGGAATGACGGACATGCTTACAGGAGTCCCCACCTGAGATAAGGACCCATCGTGAACACAGTCAAGCTGTGGGAACTTCTTGAACCTAATCAGCAGCATCCGCCACTGAATTCCAGTAAGCACTTAAAGGTCATGCTGAGCTTCACAGTCACCAAGTGGGAGCTTTGAATTCCTCGGGACAGGGCAAGGACAATGCGCTACACACGTGGTTCACTTCCTATCCCATATTCTTAACCCGTCAGAGAATCTGCCTTCCCAGCCCGTGGTGTGAGTGATTCTGGAAACACAGCGACCACATGCTCTCTAGCTGGAGAGTGTGAGGAAAGAGAGCAGAAGAAGCCTCTCTGCAAGCAGTGGGTCAGCTGACGGGGTGAGGTCTGCCGGGACGTGCCATCACAGACATGCCAGTGTGTCAGCAGGGCCATTCTTGGCTTTTACTGTGCTAGTCCCTGTAGCCCCAGACACAAAGGCGGGGTTGCTGGTGCTAGAGGCCAGGCTCTTTTTCAGACCCATGAAACTGCCCCAGCCAGTCTAACCTTTCCCTGGTAGGACATATCTGAACACCTTGGCTCACATGGGAGGAGAATAAAGTAACACAGGTCTACATAATGTGACTATCTCAAACAAGCAAGCAAAGCAACAAAAATTAAAAAACACCAGGTACATCTTTGTGATGTCTTAGAGTTTGTCTGCAAGATATAAATGCCACCTCCCTGGTTATAACAAAGGTGCTAATTCATCCAACCAAATGGGCCCAGAGAGAACTCCTAGTCATATGTGTAAAGATCATGTAAAAAGTCCACTTGTGGCCAAATTAATTCTTTGGTTCAGCATTTGAAATTGGCCTCAGAACTTTAGTCAGTTTTTCCAGGTGCCAGGCAGGGACTCCATGTACGGCACTCATGGACACCACAGGCAGATCATATACAGCTTTCTCCATTTCTGCTCCAGAGAAAGCCTGGGAACAAACCAATGGAGATACGGACACCACCTAAAAGTCACAGAAGCCTGCTGTCCCTGCTACCTCTACTCCTCGTTCCCGGGGGACCCTGAATGATTTAAAGTCCTCTGTGCCTATTTACTCATCTATAACACAGACAAGAAATATTGTTCAGGAGTGTTGTGAGAGTTGAACCTGCTAAACAGACACAAGGTCTATTATATCTGATAATAAAGAGTGAGCTGGGTGGATGGACGCCCAGCCACCTTCTGCAGGTTGCTATTGGAACCTCCAGCTAGAGAAGCCTCCCTCCCACTTCTGTTTCAAACAAGCAGCATGTGTGTGCAGGAGAAGACACTGTCTACCACAGAAGATAGGGTCCCCTCCAGACCCTGCTGGGGAAGGGCAACTGTCTCAAGTACGGGGTCAATATTCACACACTAGATTCCTGTCTATGGCACTTCTCCACTGACTCCTGTGTGTGCAGCTAAGATGGACACAAACACACGTTCGGATAACAGGACAGGAGTGTAATATGCCCTGCCCAGCTGCTGCACGGTACAAAGCACTGCCGTGTGTCGTGTGTCTTTTATCTCAAGGACAGTTTCCTAAAAGCTGGGCATGTAGCTCAGAGGGAGAGTGCTTGCTGGGGTGCTTAAGGCCTTGGCTTCAATCCCCATCACCACAGATAACAATAAAAGCAAGAATAAAGTCTTCACATGCTTAGCCCTGACACCGTGGCTGCTTCCCAGGGGACCTGTGCTGACACAGCCAGCACTTCCCTCATTCTGAGTATTTCTTGAAGGTTTCAAAATGGTCACTTACATATGACTGTACCACAAGTGCGATAATCCCGTAGATAAGCAATACACTGGTGAGCACAAACAGCACTCCATTTAGCACGGTAAAATCCCACTGGCAAGACAAAAGCAGCGCAATGTGGCTCCGTTATCATCTAGACAGGGCCTCATGTTTAGAGAGGCATTTTCTACACTTTGTCTTGGCCAAGTCTTAGGATAGAAATGCCTTAGCCCCAAGCCCGGAAAATTTCCACATAAATGATACAACTGTCATAGTCCCTTGGCTTTGCTTTAGGGAGATGCAGGAAATGGTGGAAGTTAAGACAAAATATGGGAGCCAGGGGTTGATTTTTTTAAACTGGATACGTGAGAATGAGAATTTGCAGTATTTATTCTATTTTTGTATTTATAAGAATTTCTCCCTTAAAGTCAAATGCGATGGTACACACTTGTAAGTCAAGCACTCAGGAGGTAGAGGCAGAAAGATCAGAAGTTTAAGGCCATGCTCCACAACAGGACAAGCTCAAGGCCAATCTAGGATACTTGAATCTCTGATGAGAGAGAGAAAGTGAGCGAACGAGAGAGAGAGAGAGAGAGAGAGAAGAAAGGGAGGGAGGAAGCGAAAGACTGGTTTCCTCTAATAAAAAGATTAATTGTGTAGGATTTAAATTTGTCTGGATAATATGATCATAACTATTCATATTTAAAGAACACATATGCACATAAAACATTATAAAAATGAAGTAAGTTATTTCATTATGTTAATTGGGTCTTTTTCTCAAATGCATATACACATATTTTCATAAAATTCAACATAGCAAATTTTCAAAACTACTGTTAATTATTTTATAATTTTGGCATTTATTAATGTGAATCTAGGCTTTGCCTTTCAAGATTAATGACCCAGGTATTTTTGGTTTTTTGTTTTTCTTAAAGGGGTTGAAAAACAATTTCAAACACAGAAAACATTCAAGATATTTTCTTGCATTTGCCCTCTGTCCTCAACACACACACAGGACTAGTTCTCCAAGTGTTTTTCCTAGACATGGAGCACCTTCAGCTCCACTTAGGACTTAGGAGGGATCTCTGTCAGCTCTGGCCAAACTCAGTAACTGAGTCACATCTGGGCTAGACGTTTGGCTTCAGAGACCAAACAGGACCCACTCAGAAAGCACAAACAGCAGGAGACCATCATTCAAGAACAGATGGCTAACGGCATCTCTGCTACCAGCCCCTCTGTGACCCAAATTCAAAAAAGACACAGTCTTTTGACGGTGCAGGCCGTCAAACTCCTGGCCTGCACCACAGAGGAAAGGGCAAGCAGAATCCAAGAGGCTGGGCTTCTTGAACCTACATGAAACTGCCACTTGGTCCAAAGTGGCATTCGAGGATAGGGTCTGATTGCATTTAAACCAAGTGGGCATTCTGTTTAACTTCCCCCTCTAAGAGACACTTTGGGGCATGGGAGAAAACGCAGGCTCAGTGCATGACTGCATTTCCTTTGGAGCCCTTGGGAGCCTTATAGAGGGAGAGAAGTGTTTAAACACCCACCACATAACTTCAGAAAAAAAACAAAAAAAAAAAATTAGTTGAACGTAAGTTCAGCTGCCTTTCCAAGTCATTAGTGCAAACACACCTGAAATTACCTTTAAGGGGCTTTTCAGCAGAATGTTTCATTGCCTGAACTCAGGTCATTCCTTACATGTGAGAGATTGACTTTGGGGGAAATATTCTGACATTTAGAAAACTTTAAATGGCTCTGAACATATGCCTACATCAGCGCCTCCTCCCCACTCTAGGGAGCCATGTCTGCTTACACACACGCTGGCTTCTCAGAGGACCATCCTTGAGAGGGCAAACATGATCTGATCCTAAATTAAATTGAATCTCTACTTTGGGGGATGTGGAAGGGGTTCGTGTACTTCTAAGTGTGTATGTGTGGAGGCCATAGGTCCACTTCAGCTGTTACCCCTTATGTTTTGAAAAAGAAGTCCATTAGGACCTGGAGCTCAGAAATGAGGCTGGGGTGACTGGCCAGAGAGTCCAGGGATCCAGAAGCTAGCATCCCAGAGCTGTGATTGTAAGCCCATGCCACCATAACAAGAGCTTTACATGGATGCTGGGAACCAAACTCAGGTCAGGCTTACACAGCAATCACTTTTCCAACTAAGCCGTCTCCCCAGGCCCTGAACCACTACTTTTGAAACCACTTGACTAAATGTTTTAACAAATCCCTCTACCTTCTTTTGCACCAACAAAGGTTAAAATTCTATTTGTATATAAAGTTGTCCTTATGAGGAGTGTAAAACAATGGAGAAAATACTCCTCTTTAATTATTAAACTGACTAAAACGAGCCCACCATTTACTAGGGCAAGGTATCCCTAAATGAAGTACAGGATCACTGGAAAAAGCCCTGGAAGCATCTTAGGGCCAAAGAGACTCAGCCATCAAGGTTGGGGTGTGGCATTGTGGCAGAATACTTGCCTGGCATTCACAAGGCCCTGGGTTGATCTCACCAAAAAACTGAAAGAGCAGTTGGAAATTACAGCGGGGGGAGGGAGGGATAGTGGTGCTTTGGAGCCCCAGTAACTGTGAGGATCTGAATTTTAGGCTGCAAATTTGAACCAGGGCCCCAGCAGGGAACACAGAGCCCACTCCATAAAACAGCTGGAGGAGGGTTGTTGGTTCGTGAAAGGCCCATTTCCATAAGTAGACTGAAAGGAACCAGGTGAGCAGCTGTGGCTGTAGGGCCCAAGGTCTAAAGGCACAGGAAACCTAGAAGTTGGGCTGGATTAAGCTGGCCTTGTTGAGACAAGCTGTGAGTAAATTTTGAAGAATGTGCCTAGCCCAAGAGGAGCCTGTGGGGAGAATTCCATGGGAATAAGCGCCTCTCTCCTCTGTCCCTCCAATTTCCAGCTGAGGTTCCCTGGCCCAATCGCTAAGAAGGCATGAAAGCCATACTGCTGAGGCCCACGTGATAGTAAAGCAGGTGGGGGTGAAAATGAGTCAGGGGGATGCAGGAGCACAGCCAGCAACCCCTTAGGATAGAGGCTTGTTCCAATAATACGTACTTTTGTTTGCAGTGCAAATAAAGTGAGCGCTAATGTCACCACCGTGGTGGCTCCTGTCGCCCACAGTATCTCTTCTGCCCTATAGAAGCTGGAACCAGAGACTGTGGTTACTGCTCAGGCACATTCAAAGAAAAGCACACACAGTAAGACAAAAATATGAATCAAAGACTTACATAGACATGCTTCCTAGCAGCAAACCTTCCAGAAGTGTCTAAAAACAAAATTCACAGTAAATCAAGCAGCCTGTTTCTCCATGCATGAGGCCAAGTCCTAGACTTCAGGAGAGGAAACCAGTCATGTGTGCATTTGGGCAGGGGCAGGGAGCAAGTGGAGATGGGGCTGTGAACATAACCTTGGGGCTACAGCTACAGGGTGGTTAAGGGAAACAAATGGTACAACTAACCATTCCTATCACACAGTCCCTAGGACTGGCAGAAGAAAAACCTCCAGCTACTATGAACTTCTGAAAGCACCGCAATGACTTTCACATATTCAGTGATAAACTATGTACTAGTTGGGGGTGAAAAAACCAAAGTAAAAGGTTCATTTGTGGACCATGTCCTCATTAATTAAATGGGGCCATCCACACATTAACTACACACTTCAGGGCAGCACATGCTGTTTCCATTAACATTTGTCCACACTTTGGACAATGTCACTATCTGTGGTCCCTGTGTAAACTATTTCTTCAGGACTGGGGATGAGACCTGAGAGCTCAGTGCCAGGATATGAGACTGCAGGGCAGTTCCTAGCAGAGGTGACAGCACAGGACTTATGCCCCGAAGGATTCCCTCCGCCCACATGGGACCAGGTATTGGGTAATGTGGGGGAGAGGTGTAAGCTGAGATCCAGTGGGCAGGAAGCCCGAAGGGGAGACAGTAACTGGCAGACTCTCAGCCAGGCTCAGGACCACAGACAGCGAGCAGCTGTAAGACTGAAGAGATTTGCCAGCCCAGAGGACACTTGGGAATTTGGTGGTCCATGGGAAGGACCAGGAAGTCATCTAGTCTCATCAGAGATCCAAAAAGAGGGCATATTCTAAGCAAAGTGCTGACACCAGGCTGGCTTTGGATTTCCCCAATCCACCAGAGGCTAGAAAAGAACTGGGGCCCAAAAGTCTATAGTCACTTTTCTGGATTTCCCAGCTCCAACGGGTGACTGCCTCGTGATGCATTTTGTTAATGTATCTAAGAAAGCAGTCCTTATGCCCATGAGAGTGCAAGATTGACGCTATGTACAAATGATACTTCAATAATGTGCTTGATTCCAACCTTCCTAAGATATGCTTTTTACTTTTCCCATTACTTCCCATTTCTCTAGCATCATCAGAAAGACAGACAGAGAGAGAGAGAGACAGACAGAGAGAGAAAGAGATGGGGAGAATTGAGGGAGAGAAAGAGAACAGAAGACAGGCAGGCCTGGAGAGAGAGAGGAATGGCTCCAGACAGGGAGTCATTGAGGAAACCAAGCATGCTCAGAAAAAGGCACTCAGGGAGCCACAGATTCTAGGGGACAGGAGCTATCTGAGGCAAGAGTATTTTCCTGTTCTCTCTTAACCCCTTTTCTGAAATGGTTTTTTCCATGTTATTTCCTAGCACATGGGTAAAATGCTGAATCTAGAAAATAAAATCATTACTTGACCCTAAATAGTGTACCCTCTTGGGACTAGAAGTCAACTTTGAGCCTCGGTTCTTCCCACGTCTACAATGTTCTGAGAACAGGGGTTTTCCATGGCCAGAGTTGAGGCTGTGTTATGTGCTGCCAGATATTTATTAAACTCTAGAGGGTTTTTCTGTGACCTGGCTAGTCCCCCAGTAATCAAGGCAGAGACCTATCGGTTTATTTAAACAAGCCTTAAGCACAATAACTGTGCAGTAAAATACAGCTCACAGAATGAAGAAAATTAAATGTCTAGTTCATAGGCTTGTGAGTTAGAAGCAAAAGCCATTTCCTCAATGGGATCGGGAGGGGAGGAGGAAGGGGTTTATGGGGGGATACAAAGTGAAGAAAGTGTAATTAATAATAATAAAAAACCTGTAAGGAAAAGGCTAGATACATTTAAAAATGTATGAAATGCCTTCTAGTAAATTTGTTTTATATAAAAAAAAAATGCCCTGGAATTTAACTCCAGAAGGGGAAAGGACACTATCTGACATAGGTTGCTACTTCTATCCAAGTGCCCCCGACCTGTCTTCCTGTACCACAAGCTTCCACAGTAAAGGTAATGATGCAATAAGGCAACAAAAGGATGTGTCAGAGGGAGGCAGAGCACCTGCCGTGGGGAGTTACTTACAAAGAACGCCAGGAGAATGTAGTTTGCTGGCACTTGGCGTCGGACGTCCCTACAGCAAGCCAGCACGACAATCACAACCATAATTGCTGGGCTGCGGATGTGAAACCACCCGTTAGTGCTTTGGTACTCAAACATGTGAGCAGGATGTTCAGACAGACAGGCAGAGGGACACAGACGCAAGGATATCATCACATGCTGACACCAGACATAGAAAGCAAACCAAAGAGCCATTTCCTACTTAGCTCTCTTTTAAGCCCTCAAAATGAGCTTTTAAAAGTTTCCATACACAGAGAGATAAATTGAATTTTAATTTTTTTGTTAAAAATATAGATTCATGGGAAATATAACAGAGAAGTTCTATTAAAACTATATGAAAATTTTACCAATGATTTTTATTTATATACTTGTGGCACAATTTCAAAACCAGTAATAGAACACTGGTGTAATGTGAAGACAGTTATTAATCATGGGACTGTGGCATGAGTCTGAGTACATGCGCACACCACCACCTCAGTTACCACCTAGGACTATCTTACCAAGAACAAGTCAACAAAGCTCCACATGGTATGACCCCTCTGTGGCAGTACACCTACACACAGCTGACCCTGACTTCTGGTGCCCATTAGCTGGCTTTCTTTTCCACCTCCATAATATTGTCTTCTAAAGAATCTTATACAGGGATTGGAAAAATAGATCAGAGATTTAGTACACTGACTGGTCTTCCAGAGGACCTGGGTTTAGTTCCCAACACCCACATGGCAGCTTAAAAAAAACAGTAATTCCATTTCTAGGGGACACAACATTCTCTGTCACCCTCTACCGACACCTATGTAACGTGATGCACTTACAAGCAAGCAGATACATACAAATAAACATAAAGAAAAACAAACAAAATATAAGAGAATTATGCTTTTCCCTGGGTGTTTTTGTATGTTTTTGTTCTTTTTGTTCTTAGTTTGTGTTGTTATTTTGAAGGGTCTTATGCAGTCAAAGCTGGCCTTGAATTTCTGATCCCCTGCCTCTACCTCCTAAGTGTTGGGCTTATCAGCATGCATCACCATACCCAACCAAAATGTTACATTTTATCACATTTTTAATGGTGATCACTTCTTTATCAATAGTTAATAGAATCACGAATGATACTTACAGGAGTGCATACAGGAACCAGGGCACAGAGATGACCCACTTTCTTATAGGCATGCTAGTTAAAAAAAAATATGCATATAGTTTTACAAAAAAATAGTAAATTTTGCTAACTAAAACAGAAGTATAACAATATCATGAGAAGGATGGGTAAACTAAGTGATCAAATGGGCAGGAAGAATTGAAACATTCTTTGTAATAGAGTAGTAGGCTGCTTCCCTGTTAGAGCATCTCTGGGCATGTGTGAGTGAGCCTGGTTTCAAATCCCCAGCACAGAGAAGAGAGAGGAGATACATTATAAAAAACCATTTTCTTAAATTACACATCAAATTTAAAAGGAAGCACCTGGTTATGGCCTTCATTTTCACAAATACTGAGAGCCAGGCATGGTAGCACGTATCTTTAATCCCAGCATTCAGGAGGCAAAAGAAGGTGGATGCCTGTAAGCTTAAGGTCAGCATGATCTACATAGTAAGGATGGCCAGAGAAAGCCAGGACAGCCAGAGCTGCATAGTAAGACCTACCTCAAAAAATTAAATAAAATAAAATACTAAGACTGATAGATGTGTAAATTAAAAGAAAGGCAAAAAGAATGGACATCAGAAGAGGAGAAAACAGGGAACAGGACAGGAGCCTGCCACAGAGGGCCTCTGAAAGGCTCTACCCTGCAGGGTATCAGAGCAGATGTTGAGACTTATAGCCAAACTTTGGGCTGAGTGCAGGGAATCTTATGAAAGAAGGGGAAGATAGTAAGACATGGAGAGGACAGGAGCTCCACAAAGAGAACAACAGAACCAAAAAATCTGGGCACAGGGGTCTTTTCTGAGACTGATACTCCAACCAAGGACCATTGATGGAGATAACCTAGAACCCCTGCACAGATGTTGCCCATGGCAGTTCAGTGTCCAAGTGGGTTCCCTAGTAATGAGAACAGGGACTATCTCTGACATGAACTCATTGGCCTGCTCTTTGATCACCTCCCCTTGAGGGGGGAGCAGCCTTACCAGACCACAGAGGAAGACAATGCATCCACTCCTGATGAGACCTGATAGACTAGGCTCAGATGGAAGGGAGGAGGACCTCCCCTATCAGTGGACTTGGGGAGGTGCATGCATGGAGAAGGGGGAGGGAGGGTGGGACTGGGAGAGGAGGGAGGGAGGGAGCTACAGGGGGGATACAAAGTGAATAAACTGTAATTAATAAAAATAAAAAATGAGAAAAAGAAAAGAATAAAAAATTTTAAAAAGTAATCAACTCCTGGCTCGTGTTCAAATAGCACTTGAGTAGAATGAATTGGTGATGGATTAAAGTCTCTCAAATAATTACAGAATTTAACAGTGTTCCAGCCTTCAACCTCTCCACTTTCTCACTTCTTTATCCAGTTATATTTGAGAAAGTAGCTCAGAGAAAATTTAAAATAGTGCCCAAAGTAAGAGTAAGAAAAATGTTCTTGATTTAGGAAGTTACGTTCTAGAAATCCCCTGCCGTGTTGGCCTAGAAGATGCTTCAGTAAAACCTGTGTATAGGAAGAATATCGTTTACGAATGATGAAGAGCAAAAACCACACTGTTTGAAATGATCCAAATTAAAGCAAGCTGAATCCATGAGCACTCACATGAGTGACATAACATTTAATTGTAGACAGTAAGAAAGACTTACCAGAAAACGAACACACCAATGATTGTCGCAGTAACAATCAACTGAACTGACAGGATAATGAACACTTTAACAATGAAACCTGTGGAGAAGAGATGTTACTTCATGAAACAGTGCCCAAAGGTAAAACTAAATGCAATTTCCAGTTAGGGAAAGGAATTTGCCCATCGTCATTCGAGGCTAGGAAAGGCAGCGCTGGTTTAATCAACAAATGAAACAAGAAAAACAGAGACTCTGAGGAACATCTTTAAATGTGCTTTTTAAAAATTCTTTGAGCATTTCATACATGTTCACAGTGTATTTTGATCTCTGTAGAACTTTTTAAAATGTCTAATCAAAGCCAGCCACAGCGGGGCTCACTGGTAAGCCCAGATGCTTAGAAGGCTGAAGCGGGAGAAATGCTTCAGCTTAGGAGTTGGACACCAAACAGAGCAATGAAGAGGCACCCAGTTGTAAGAACAGATAAACAGAAAGATTATTCAGGCTCATTATTAAAAATGTTTTCTCTGCGGCTGATGAGATAGTTCAGCAGGTAAATGCACTTGCTGTCAAACCTGAGGCTAGTCAACTCACAGAATAAAGTCATTGTTGGTGATTTTTTTTTTTAAATGGGCAAAAGATTTGAATAGTACTCCCCAAAGAAGACACATAGATAGTTAACACGCATGTGAAAGATATTCAACACTATCAATCATTAGGAAAAGGCAAGTCTGCCTGGGAACCCACAGGCCACTCTGACCAAGGAAACAGGTAGGCTAACTGCAAATCTTCACCTCTCCTTCAGTGTCTACAAGTCCAGTTCCCCAGTCTCACCCCAGACCTGTAGCAATCCTTCTGCTGTGGTCTCTCCTCGCCCTCTGTCCTCATTCCCCGGGGACTAAGCAGACTCTGGTGGAACACCCTGCTTTCCTCAGCCCACCTCCCTCCTCAGCTGGACCCCCAGCCCATTCCCCTTCCCAAGTGTCAGATCCTAATACCCAGAACACATTTTACCTGGAACCCCAGTGACCACACACCTATCAGGGTCCCAGGAGAATCTCCTACCAGGCAACACACAGAGGGCAACAGAGACCCAGTAACCAAACACCCCCCCTAACAAAGACAAGACCAGATATCAGCACCTAGAATTACAGTTTTCCCAAACCCAGATGCCAATAACAGTGAGGACAGTATGTTCACTAGAGCCCAACAACCCTACCACAGCAAATCCTGAGTATTTCAACACAGCCAAGCCACAATAAAAAGACTTTAAAATAGTCAGAAAAATTTCACTCACAAAAGAACACACCTCAGTACCTCATGAAATTTCTTCAAAATTGACCACAGACTCAGACACAAACAAGTCCCAAAGATAAAAATACAGCATGCATCCTATCTGACCAACATGGCTGGATATCACAACAGAAACAACAGAAAGCTCCCAAATACATAAAAGCTAACCAACACATTCCATTACTGAATGAAAAGTGGATCAAGGAATAAGTTAAAAAAAAAAGAAACTAAAGACTTTCTATTGAATTTCTAGGAATTGAATGAAAACAACATACCCACATTTATGGGACACAATGAAGGTTTGTCTAAGAGGCAAATATATAACACTAAGTGCCTACATTTTAAAAATGAAGAGATCTCATAATAGTAACTTAAAAGCACACCTGAAAGTTTTAGAACAACAAGAAGAAAACACACCCAAAAGGAGTAGATGGCAAGAAATAATCAAACTCAAGACTAAAATAAATAAAATAGAAAAACAAACAAACAATAACAATCAATGAAACAAAATGTTTGCTCTTTGAAAAATCAATAAAATTGACAAATCCTTATTCAAATTGACTAAAAATAAGAGAGAGAGAGAGAGAGTACCCAAATTAACAAAATTAGATATGAAAAGGTGCATATATCAACAGACACGGAGAAAATCCAAAAAATCATAAGGACATACTTTAAAAACGTTTACTCTACCAAATCTAAAAGAAATTGATAGTTTTATCAATACATAACACTTACTAAAATTAAATCAAGATCAGGTAAAGCTTCAAATAGACCTGTAACCCTAAGTGAAATAGAAGCTGTCGTTAAAAGTCTCCCAACTAGCCAAAACAAACAAAAAATCTCAGGGCCAGGTGGTTTTAACACAAACTATCACACTTTCAAAGAAGAGTTAATGTCAATACTCCTCAAATTATTTCACAAAATAGAAACAAAATTAATTTTATTAATTAATTAACTTTAATTAATTTTATTAACTAATTAATTTTATGATGCTACAGTTATCCTGATGCCAAACACACACACACACACATGGGAATTTGAAACCAATTTCTGCTATGAACACAAATGCAAAATTTCTAAATAAAATATGTGCAACCAAATCTGAGAATACATCAAAAAGACCATCCACTTTGATCAAGTAGGCTTCATCCCAGTAATGCAGGGATAGTACAACATAAATAAATGTAACTCACCATTTAAACAAACTGGAAGTTAAAAATGATCATCTCATTTGATGCAGAAAAGGCTTTTGACAAAATCCAATACCACTTCATGATAAAAATTTTGGAGAAATTAGGGACAGGGGGACATAGCTCAATATACAGTAAGCCCACAGCCAACATCCACTTACATGAACAGAAACTCAATGCAATTCCACTGAAATAAGGAACAAGACAAGGTTGTCCGCTCTCTCCATGTGTATTCTCTACACAGTAACTTATAGCTGGAGCAGTAAGACAACTGAAAGAGGTGTAGGGATAAAATTGGAAAGAAAGAAGTCAATGTATCTTTACTTGGAAATGATATGATAAGTAAGTGATCCTAAAATTTTCACCAGAAACTCTACAGCTGATTAAACACCTTCAGTGAAATAGCTGGATACAAAATTAACTCACAAAAATTAGTAGCCCTCCCGTATACAAATGACAAACAGACTGAAAGAGAAATAAGAAAAACGTACAACAGCCTCAAATAATATAAAATATCTTGGATAGCTCCAAATAAGCAAGTGAAAGACTTGCATGAAAAAAAAAACAAAAAAAAAAAAACAAAACTTTAAGACATTGAAGAAACAAATTGAAGATGATATCAGAAGATGGGAAGATCTCCCATGCTCATGGATCAGTAAGTATTAATAACAGCCATCCTACCAAAAGCAATCTACAGATTCAATCCCCATCAAAACTCCAACAATTTTCAGCTTCACATGGAAGCAAACAAACAAAAAAATCAGGTCAGTTAAAACAATCCCAAATAATAAAAGAGGGATTTTTTATTATTTCTATCAGGAAATCTCACTGTTCCCAGTTTCAAGTTGTACTACAGAGCTATAGTAATAAAAACAACATGGTATTGGCATAAATAAAGAAACATTGATCAATGGAATCAAATTGAAGAACCAGACATAAATCCACACACCTATCGACACTTGATATTTTTATAAAGAAGCCAGAAATACGCAGTGGAATAAAGACAGCATCTTCAACAAATGGTGCTGGTCAAACCAGATGGCTGCGTGTAGAAGAATCCAAGTAGATCCTTAAGAAAGGGAAATATAATAGATAGTTATAAAAGGATGGGTATGATAGGTAGCTGAAATGGGAGGATCAAGTTGGGAGGAGAAAGAGGGATGAGGGAAAGAATATAGGGAGAGACAGGTAAAGTTAAGGGTCATTTGACAGGTAGTATGAAAACCTAATACATCAGAAGCTTCCTAAAATATAAACACATATGAAGGCCATCTAAATGATATCATCAAATAATAGTGGAGACAGAGACCCAATTGACCATCTCTTGTAACCAAATGAAGCTTCCAGTACTGGTAGTGGGTTACATCTATTTGAGCTGTTGGTCAAAGGGGTCTCAAACAACCAATCCCTAAACAATCCAAGCTGATGCTGAGGCTATAGCTTTCTCTTCACAAGCTAACAAGGCCCGTTGCTGAAGTCAGCACAACTCATTTAACATGGAGAAGTTGAGCTGGTCCCTATGTAGGACCTTCATCCCTACTTGCTAGCATCTTTGGTACAGGAAGTTACTCTGCACACTTCTAAAACAGACACATAAACATGAAGCCAGCCACAAACTCTTTGATCTACAGTGTTGTCCTGCCTGCAAGATATGCTAGGCCAATGGTGACACAAAGTTTGTGGGGTGACCAACCAATATCTGAATTGATTTATGGCCCACTCCATAAGATTGAACCTGTACCTAGCACTGCTTGCATGACTAAGAACCAGAGACATCTAGCCCAAGCAAGGACTTAGAGAAAGACCAAATTCTACTGGCCTAAAAAAATTGCAATAAAATGCCTCCTAGTGATATTCTGTTGTACTAATAGAGCAGTGCCTTGCTCAGCCATCATCAGAGAAGACTCCTCCTGAAGCAAATGGGAAGAAATAAAGACCCACACATCGGACATTTTGTAGAGTGAGCAAGCTTGGAATACTTTGCCTGAAACGGGACATCTCTATCTAATCTCACCCCTCAGGGCTCTAGGAACCCCTTGGAAGAGAGGAAAGAATGTAAGAGCCAAAGGGAATGTAGGACACCAGGAAAACAAAGCCCTCTAAATTTATCCCATGATAAAAGCTCATGGGAACTCATGGCTGAGGCAGCATGCACAGGGCCTACATGGGTATGCACCAGGTTCTCTGCTATATGTTATGGCTTCCAAGTTTAGTGTTTTATGGTATCCTTGAGTGTGTGATTGAGTGGGTCTCTTTCTTGTGCCTTCTGCTAGGCTCTTTTTCTTCTGTTTATCTTATCCAACTCTGATGTGATGTTTTATTTTATTACATTTTATTGTTATATTTTATTATCTCTTAAAATCCTGTTTGCTTTGTAATGAGAGACAGAAATGGGGTGAATATGGATTGGGGGAAGGGGAGGGTCTGGGAAGAGTAGAGGGGGGAGGAAACATAATCAGGATATATTATGTGAGAAAAAAAATCTATTTTCAATAAAATGGGTGAAAGCAAGTCAAAATTATTATGTAGTGTCACTTCATACTCACTAGGATGTCTACAATCAGAAAGAAAGATAATAACAAATGTTGGCAAGGATGTTGAGAAACAGGAAACTTCATACATTATTGGTTGAAGTAAAAAAAAAAATGGTGCAGCTGTTTTAGAAACGTTTTACCATTCATCAAAAGGTGACACATACTTGTAATGTAGTTCAACAATCCAGCATTCCATCCAGGAGAATGTAAACGCATGTTTATATAAAACTGATATATGAACTGAAGGTACCCACACACAGCGGGGTGCTCCCTCTTGGACCCCGGATTAGGCACAAACCACACCCAAACACCTATTTACACAGAGAGATCCATCATTACTTGGGGATGAAAAATAAAGTGGCTGGTTTCTGACCAGGCAGAAAACAGCAGCAAGTGACATTGCGGGTGTGGTTCTTACGAGGAGAAGAGGGGAGGTGTGTGATAGAATAGGCTAGGTTGCAGGCTGTGGCGGGATGTTTTGATTTGGGCATGTTAATTAGGGCAGCCAAAAGGGGTTTCTAATTGCTGGACTTCAATACTTTGATAGTTGGACCTTAGCAATCAGCCTTAGGAATGAGTCTGGCATAAGAAAGTGTCCAAATAAAAGAACAGGCCTTGGTGGTTAGCTTTAGGGATGTAAACTATGGTTTGCCAGGGAGAGGGAAGGGAAAGACAAGCAACCATGCTTGCCATGCTTGGGCCTTCTAGAGTTCTTCGAGAATACTGGTTGCAGCATTAGTCACAATAACCAAAAGGGGGAAAAAACAGCCCAAACATCAAACAACTGACAAAGGAAAACTCCATTTTGTGCTGGCACCATTCTAATTTTCTAAAATATAAGTTCCAGGCAATTCTGACTAGCCCCTCCTCAGAATTGTAAAACTACTGTAAGATAATTGCTTGCTTGCTCTGGCTTTTGTAAACCTGCTTATAGCTGTGTACCAGGAACTAAGACAGCTTCTCTATCCTGTACGCAGGGAGTGACATAGCTCTTCACTAGCTGAGGGGAGACGGCTTTTTGAGCAGCTGCACATATATGAAAAATGAAACAACTGTGGTCTTCACCTTTAAAGACCTTCCTTTGACCCTAAGAAAGATGCTTAAATCTTATTTAAAAGGGAAAACAGGAGAGACACCGGAAGCAGTAGAAGAGAGGAAACAGGACTGGAGGCTACCACAAAGGGCCTCTAAAAGACTTCACCCAGCAGGGGATTGAAGCATATGCAGAGACTCACAACCAAACTTTGGACAGAGCACAGGAAGTCTCTGGAAGAAGGGGGATATAAAAGGACCCAGAGAGGACAGGAGCCACACAAGGAGACCAACAAAGCCAAAACAAAACAAACAACAACAAAAAAGCAGGGCACAGGAAGGACTGCAGAGACTGATGCATCAACCAAAGACCCCCATGGAGAGGACCTAGACCCCCTGCTCAGATGTAGTTTTAGACACCTTAGTCTCCATGGAGGTTCCCTAGTAAGAGAAGAGACAGTCTCTGACGTGAACTTGGTTGCCTCCTCCTTGATCACTTTTCCCTTCTCCCTAGTTGGGCCACCTAGCCAGCTCACAGAGGAAGAGGATCCAGGCCATCCTGGTGGGACCTGATAGGCTAGGGTCAGACAGTAGGGGAGGAGGACTTCCCCATCAGTGGACCATAAAAGACAGATGGGAGAGGAAGAGGGAGGGAGTGCAGGACCAGGAGGGGGCTACAACTGGGATACAAACTGAATAAATTGTAATTAATAATAATATAATAGGAAAAAAGAATAAAATGGAGAAAAAAAAAACTTCCTCTGGCCCATGATATGCAGCAATGGCTTTGATTTGGCTTTAAGGCTGTCGTCCTGCTCATGGTAATAATAAATTCACTTAATTATAATTTGGATTGAGTCTGTAATCTTTTCCCAGCAGATCTGAACTCTGTAAAAAATCCCTCACCATAATGTAATGTAATGTCATGTCATGTCTACCAGGCAATGGAATGCTATGGCCATAAAATAAATAAGAACTAAGAACTAATGTTTCAGAATGGGTGAACTGTAAAATCTTATGCTTAATAAAGGAAGACTTTCAAAAGAGCAAGTGCTTTGCTCTTCCATTTGTATGAAATAGCCTTACTAGGCAGATCCACAGGGTTACAAAGTAGAGTGGGGGTGGGGAAGGCAGAGGTAGAACCCCTAACAGATTTTATTTTGAAGTGATATGATCCCACATGGACTGTGATGCTGGCTGCAGAACTCTAAATTTCCTGCAAACACTGCACACTTAAAATGATGAAATTGTGTCTTCATGGACATGCCCTCAAGAATTACATGCCTTCCCTCCACAACTCTTACCTCATCACCCTCCATGATACTTTCATCTTATATACTGTTCAACTTGTGAAAAGCAGAAAGAGGCTCACCTCTGTCTTTCACTAGCTATAAATCACTAACTTTGGTGTGTGTGTGTGTGGGGGGGGGGTGTTCTACCTCTTTAAATCCAGTTTGCACATCTCCAATATGACACTATGACTTCTTCATTCAGAGATTTGTAAAGAATAATCAGCGAACCACTGGCCTTCCATGGCACTGTGAAGGTCTGGCCTAGGCGGCTGGCTGGCCGGTGCCACCCCTCTGCCCTGGCCTCCTCATACTTTGACCCAGATCTTCTGAAAGATGATAACCATCCCCAAAAAGAAAGTGTGGACAGAGCCACTGTGTGCTTCAGATAAGATCAACAGCAAGTGGATGAGAGCTCTTGCAGGGACAAAAAAGGTCCTGTTTGGGGTGCTCTTGGGACTTCTTTCGTGAATGGACTTCTTGAAGTGGTCAGAACCTTTGTCCTCCCTTGGCTATTTCTGTTTTTCAGCCTGAAGATTAGAGCTCCCAAAGACCTCTTTGCAGACTATGATAGAGGGTGGTCAGAGGCAGGCATCACTGGGAGTCAAAGTTCAGAGGCCACTACAAGCTATCCAGGCCCTGAAAAGCTTAAGTGCAGCACAGAGGATGTGGGGAACCATGGCATTGGCCTTAACTTCCTGCCCTTCAATATGACATTTCATAAGAAAGAAGTTCTCATTTATTTATGCCACAATTTTTTAAGATTTCTGACATTCCCTGATGAATATGCTCCTCTTTATTCCCAAATAAATACCTAGGACATTGAATTAATATGTTTAAAAACCTAGGCCAACACTATATGACCATATTATATGTAGGTGAGAACATTTCATCATCAACAGTTAACCCATACTTCCTAAAATGTCACATGTTTATTATGGATTTCTAAATCTCCAGGACAACATCATGGTGATCTCTTATGTCAGCCTATGACACATTTCATGGTAAAGGAAGATGAAGAAATCTAAATAAAAAAGAATACATTCTTTCTGGCAGTACACACCATGGAAATATTTTAAGAAAACATTGCTCCTTTCCAAGCCCAAGTACTCTTACCTCTACGGACAGACATGTCTTCAAAGGGACCATGTGAATTTGCGTTCTCATTTGTAGAAGCATCTGAAATTTGTATTGCGTAGATATTTGCTCCATCTCTAGGCTTTGGATTTGAGTGTTTGATGGCTTCTTGTGGCCTATCTCCAGATGAATGTGTGAAGGACTGATCCAGTTTACCAGGGTTACCTTTAATTGCTGCTTTCTGAACAAGATGTTGATGATCGCCAGAGCTAAAGTTGACTGGATCACTGATCTCCAAATCTATTTTCCTGAAATAGAAAGCCTGTCATTTATGTCCTTATGACCACAGCTCCATTACCTTTAAACTTCCAAGTGATTATTTCCTATTTTCAAATGACAGAGCATCCATTCATATCACATCAATGCATAATAAATATGTGTTAAATGAATGAGCATATACTTGTAAGATGGAGCCTGTGGAGCAGTGGTTCTCAACATGTGGGTCGCAACCCCTTTGACAAACCTCTATCTCCAAAAATATTTACACTACAATTCTTAAAAGTAGAAAAATTATAGTCATGAAGTAGCAATGAAAATAATTTTATGGTCGAGGGTCACTACAACATGAAGAACTGTATTAAAGGGCCTCGGCATTAGGAAGGTTGAGAACCACTATTGCAGAGTAAACTAATTTGCCTTCTATTATGGAATTAACCTCTTAATTCATTCAGCAAGGAGTTAAAAAGACCCATGGAGATTCTTCTACTGCTTCTGCCTTCAACTGACTCACACTAAGGGAAAGACAGTACTCGGATGAGCAATTATATTAAAAGCAATATAATCGAGCCAGGTATATGGGAGGATGTGAGAGCCCTCCGTGACACTTAGAGGAAAAGACTGGGAGTAGAAGAGTTTTTCAGACATTCCCAGGGAATGTGAAGTATAAGGCTAGAAGTGTAATAGGACTTGGTCAAAAAGAGATGAGGAAAGATTTTTCCAGATAGAGCCGTCAGCCTGGACCAAGACCAGAGGAAGCATAGGGGACAGGTCCCAGATATTGAAGATGTTCCTATTCCAGGATAGAGAAGTTGACAGTGTAATAGAATAAACAATGGGGTAGTGGGATTATGTCACTGGTGGGAGGGGACTGGAATAACCTAAAGAAGCTATACTTTACTTTCAGTGACATCAATGTGTTAGGAAGAACAATAGTCCCCAATGGCTCTACATCCCTCTCCAGGGACCCTGGAAACACTGCTGTGCTTGTTAAAAGAAACACTACAGATACACATAAGGACACTGAGCTAATTGCACAATCAAATCTCAAAGTTCTTTTGTTTTTTAATGATCATAGAAGAGAGGAAGGCAGAATAAGAAAGGCAAATGGAAGTCAAAATGATGCAAATGCTAAGAAGATTCCAGAAGCAGCTTGGAGCAAAGAATGTAGGTGGCCTGCAGAAGCTGGGCAGGAAATGGATTTTCTAGTGGAGTTGCCAGAAAAAAGCTAGGCCCTGTTGGCACCTAGGTTCTAGCCCTGGGAGGCTGATATGGAACTTCTGACCTGCAGAACTCTAAGACTATATGTTTGTTATGTTTTGTGACACAAAGTTTGTGCAGAATTGTATCAGCAACAATAGAAAATTAATGCAGTGGGCAATCACTGAGGGTTTACAAGCAAGGGAATCAGTGATCTGACTAGAAAGACCTCTAATCCTACAGTGTAGAGAAGCAGCAGAGGAAGCCAGTGTGAAAAAGCAGAGATCAGAAATGGTGGCTGGGGTAGCTGACGTTGGCTGCTGTGCTTGATAACCAAAATGCCAGTCCCAGGAAACTATGAAAAAAACAAAGGCAAAAGCAAACTTACCCACTCATCTCACGGCAAATGTAAAGGTTTCTTTTTGTTGTTGTTGTTTTGTTTTGTTATTGTTGTTGCTGCTGTTGTTTTTTAAGACAGGGCTTCTCTATACAACCCTGGCTGTCCCAGAACTCTCTCTGTAGACCAGGCTGGCTTTGAACTCAGAGGTCTTCCTGCCCCTACCTCCTGAGTGCTGGGTAGGACTAAAGGTATGCACACACCCGGCCAAGGTGGAAGATTTCAGCAAGTCCCCTTTACTGCTGCCTGCTTCCTATCTCATAAGGGACATGATGGGGCAAGAAAGGAGACTAAGATGTAAAGCGAGGGTGGAAAGAGGGCCTTAGCCAGAATGGTATAAACAGGAAGTCCAAAAAGCTGCCAGGCTCCTAGAGAAGCAGACTCCATCTAATAAAAATGTTCCCTTTCCTCTAATTAATCTCTAATGTTTACAAGATTCAGTAGGGGATTTCTAGCAACACCAAAGAGCAACATCAAGAGCAAATAGATGGGAAAAAAATTAAGAACAAAACTGAAAGAGGACTAGAAGAGAAGTAGTGATTCACTTTAGCAGAAATAAAATGTATATATATATATATACACACACATATATATGTATATGTATATATATGACATAAACTATATGGTTAAAACTATAGTACAAGTGTAGCAATGGATAAATAGATCAATGGCATGGAAGAGAGTCTAGGAACAGATTGATGCATATCCAAGAATTTAATATTTGATAAAGGTAAAACTTCAAATTATGCCCTCTGATGTTGGAACAATTAATTATACGTTTGGAAACAACAGTTTAATAGCTATTTTGTAATCAAAGATGTATTGCAGGTTGGTTGTGGTGGTTTGAACGAGGACGCCCCCTTGCCATAGGCTCATATATTTGAATACTTGGTCCCTGGTTGGCGGAACTGTTTGGGAAGGATTGGGAGTTGGGGACTGTTGGAGGGAGTGTGTCACTGGGAGCGGGCTTGAAGCCTGAAAGGGTTCTTGCTATTCCCTGTGTCCTCGTTCTGCCTCCTGCTGAGGATAAGTGTGAGCTCTCAGCAGCTGTACCAGCTGCCTGCCACCATGCCTTCACTCTGCCATCATGGGCTCCAACCATCAGCCCAACTGAATACTTTCTTTTATAAGTTGCCTTGTTCATGGTGCTTTGTCACAGACACAGAAAAGTAACTAATACAGAGGTGAACTGAAAATAGATAGATTTCTATTAGAAATTTATAATAGATAATCTATTAGAAAATACAAGAAATGTATGGATGAGCTTTTATAAAAGTGATTCCATAAAAAGAAGTATTTGACAGATTGGAGGTACAGATAACTTCAGATGCAACTATAAAAGTATCAACAAATCTGATATGAAAAATGATAATATATTTGCAATGTTTATTATACTGCATTGGCAACCCAATGAAGATGAAAAGTGAACACAAATAACAAATTCATAAAAATTTTAAGTAGCTAATAAGCCTTGAAGATAACACCTCATGAAACAACCGAAGAACTATAAATAAAAGCAGTAGTGAAATGTCTTTTTGCATAAATGACATTCGAAGATTAGAAAGATGATTCTCATAGTTGTAACACTATAAAGAAATAGGTAATCTGGAAGTACATCATGACTCTCATGAACCTACACGTTTCTTCTATGAGCTCCTTCCTCTGCAAAACAGCAAATATATAACTTAAGTATAAAGTAACTATATAACTTAATAATTGTACATTTAAATATATTTTATTTAAAATGATCTTTTCTGGTTATTATTGCTGGAAATATAGATGTAAGCCAATATGTATTCATTTTATTTTATCCGCTATTATGTTCACAATTTTCTCTTGATTTTAAGCAATTGTCTCAAAACAATCCTGAATCCTAAGCTTTAAATCAACTATATATAGTGGACTGTCCCACTTGAGGTACACCATCTCATAGCAATATAAAGTTTTCTGTGGAGAGATAATTTAGTGATATATAGTAGAATCCCAAATGTGTATCACTTGGTCCAACAGTTATAGTTGGGGCAATTTATTCCATAAACACACGAAGTCAGAGGTGCATGTAAAAGAAAATTTACTATGTCATTTATTGTTTAAAACTGCCAACAAATTTACGACGGGCCATTACCCATCAGCAGGGAAGTAGTTAAATTAATTTTGGTACAGACAAAAAACATGTATGTATATATGGACCAACCTATACGTATATGCTCAAGTTACAGCATAGAAAATCCATAGGGCCAGCCTGCCCTGCACCAGAAGACATGCTGACCACCCCTTGAGCCCCCTAGCCAAAAAGAAAAGAATCAGCAAGAATACCCACCTGCCTCTGCTATCTTCTTTTGAACCTCACAGTCTCACCACGATACAGTTTTTAATTTAGAATATAAAATTTGAAAGTAATATTTAGGAAGATTGCGTTAATATTACATGCCCTCTCTGACTGGAAGGAAAACACTACAAATGAGATTAACCTGATTTGAATGAATTTTTACAGTGGCCATTTATTCCAAATAATAATAACACTAATATATTTACATTTTGAAGACAAGAAATATTTTCCTCTATGATGCAGTTTGGAGCTCCTCTGAGAAAGGAATCTTCATGCGAAACTGAAGGTCACTTAAAGATGCTCAAATAACCAATCGATGTCTACGGTGTCCTACAAATCAGACAGAGAGATGGAGATTTTTCAAAGCTCTCAAAGACGAAAGCAACCAAAACCCAAAAGCAACTGAGTTTTCCTTAAACAACTATATTTGATTCCTGAAACTCAAAAGAGGTTTTCACCTGGTCCTCAAAAAGGTCTCCTGACTCCTGATCCAGCAGCCAGTCAAACAACAGCCAGGCAGGTAGTGGGGCTGAGAAGCAAGGCTCTGAGTGACAGTTAAGAGAGTGGCAGTTGGGACATGGGGTGGGTGGAACCTTTCTGTCAGAAAGAGAGGTTCTAAGTCAAGCCCTGTCTCTCAATCCCTGTGCCAGCCAGTGCACACCCTGGTGGGTCTCTAGTAGCCCTACTTCATGGAGGCTTTGTCCACAAGGAAGTGGTCCTTCCAAGCATGGCATCACTTTCTTCTCAGCTCACAAAATTCCACTACAGAGCACCCTCCAGAGGTCCTGTAACATCATCTCAGATGAGTAAGACTCATTTTTAGTAAAGTGTCAACTGGTCTTTCTAGTAGACCATGATGACTTTTGGGCCTCCTCCCCTATGGTGGGAGATTGCTACCTGCAGGTCACAGGTCAGGATGTTTGGTGAGAGAAGACACATGACCAGGTGCTTAGAAGGTACCATGAGCCCTTCTTCTCTGGGATTTACAGAAAGGGAGAGGAAACTTGTCGTCTGTGGAGCTCTTTACTAAACCATTCATGTTGGCTAGTTCTCAGAAAGATAGTGTTAGCTATGGAGCCTGGGGGGAGTACGATGCAGGGAAAGAGAACACCACTCCAAGGGAAAGAATCAGACAGGGAAGCAAGACTGTCTTACACAGAAAATAGTTGCATTGTGCTCAAGTTACAGCATAGAAAACCCATAAGGCCAGCCTGCCCTGCACCTGAAGACATATGCGGACCACCCATCGAGCCCCCTAGCCAAAAAGAAAAGAATCAGCAAGAATGCCCACCTGCCTCTGCTATCTTCTTTTGAACCTCACAGTCTCACCACACCTCACTCATTATCTCTGTCCTGTCTCCACTGTCTTCATTTTGTTGGTGTAAACAGTCTGAGTAGTTATTTATTTCACCCTCCAAAATGCAGTTGACATGATTTATTTGTTCACATGCCAGGACTGTAACTAACGAATGGCAGCTTGGTTAAAAGAAAGCCTTTTTCTTCTCATCAGCGTCATGGTCTACATTATGTTAGCTATTTCTTAGATGTAGCAGGTGCTTGCACTTCTACATGTACTAACTAATTTAGAGCATCAACTCTATGGTTTACGGCCATTGTTACATTTCATTTGACAGGTGAGTAAACCAAGCGGAAATGTAATTGCAGAGTCCCACTGCTTTAACATACACAGCAAGGGTACACACGGGTTGGCAATCGCGTGTTGGCCTATAATCATCAGGCGAACAAAATGTGATCACCTCTTTTGAAACCAGCCTGTGGTGTGTTTTATATACACCAATTTCAATCTTGGGAGTTTTTATTAGTGAAACTAATTGCAACACATAAATCATGCAAATTGTAAATCCTGCAAATTACACCACATACTGACATTAACAACTACTGAGGAACTTGGCTTCCTTTCTTTCCCATTAGTGTGAAATTTTAAGGCCTCCTGTTTTAACAGCCTATGTACACACAGCACCACCAAAATTTTCTCATCTCATATATGCTAAGTTGTCCATAGGATCCAGTAGAACCCTTCCACTGACTCCAGACTGAGTAGCTATCATTGTATGCTATGGGAAATTATATTTCCCTAATTCATATATTTAAATTTAATTGCCAGTATAACAGAAAGTATTATGCAGGCTACTAAGGAAAGGAATGAGATCAATAATTCCATCCAGTTGTGATACCTATTAACCAAAACAATGACCAGCACATCAAGGTATTCCTAAAGATGCAATAGCGGTACTCACATTTTGGTGGAACCAACAGTTGTCCAATTGGACGTGAAACACTCCACAGCAGGGAAATTATGCTTATTAGAAACCTGTCAACCACCCAGAACTAGTGAAGTCATGTATCTGTTTTTTAATTTATTTGTATTTTTATGTATTCATTTTACATTCCTGCCATAGTCCCCTCCCTCCTCTCCTCCTGGTCCCACCCTCTCTCTCTCTCTGTTTCCTCTATCTCTTCTCCCTACTCCTCAGAGAAGGGGAGCCCCCTCCAACCCACCCCAGCATATCAAATTGCATCAGGACTGACAGCATCCTCAGCAAGTTGAATTTACATTTGTGCATATATGTATGCATAATATGTTGTTACACATATATTTATACATAATGAGAATAAGCAAAAAGAGGCCATCAATCTGAGTGGGGGTGAGGGGGTACATGGGAGACCTGGATGGAAGAAATGGAAGGGAGATGTGATTTCATTGTATTTTAATTAAAAGTATATTTAAAGAAAAAAGATAACATTTTTAAAAGGTAGAACACTTAGAAAAGACTAATCAATAAGGGCGAAATCTTAGTGCATGGGATTGAGCAATCAGAACTGTCTGATTTCTCATAAATGTCCTGTCTCCAGTAATTACAGCAGGTCAAATGGATTAAGACGTGTGTCTGTCTGAGATATTGCCTCCTGACACGTCAGGGAGCCATGCCTTGGCCCCCTGTGGCTCACGGTCTTCCTGAAGCACCCCTTACAGAGGAGGGGACTAGGTGGGAACCTTCATAAGGTGTTGCTCACTTCCCTCACTTGATTTATCCCCGACATCTTCTTTGCTTAGTAATTCCTACCAGTCCGTGCAGGAGGTGATGCTATACTGTGAGGCAGTGTGGTTCTCGACCTTTCTAATGCTGTGACCACTTAAGACAGTTCTTCACGTTGTGGTGACAATCATAAAATTATTTTTGATGCTACTTCATAACTGTCATTTTGCTACTGTTATTGTAATATAAATATCTGTGTTTTCTGGTAGTCTTAGGTGACCCCCGCGAAAGGGTTATTCGACAATCCCCCAACACACACACATGGATGGAATTAGAAAAGATCATCCTGAGTGAGGTAACCCAGACCTAGAGGACAAACATGGTATATACTCACTTACAAGGGGCTCTAGGGGGATCTCTTTGGGAAGAGAAAATTAAACGTATTTTGCAGGTGGACTGGTGGGTGGGGAAGGGAACAGGAGGAATCAGGTCAGGGAGGAAAGGATGGAGTGAGACAGTACAGGAAAAGATGACTGGAATGGGGGCATTTACGGGGCAATGTGGAAACTTAGTGCACATAAACCACAGACAAAGTGTCAAAATGCAGTTGGTGAACTCAGTAAAAACTGTATTTACCTGTAACCAGTCCCTCATTCCTTGAGCTAGCTTCCCAGGGAGCTCTAGACTTCAACAATCATACTAAATGTTCAGGCTTACTCTCTCAAACTAATAAAAGTCTCTTTTCCAGGTGAAAGTCGTATTATGCCTGGTTTTGCTAGTAACTCTCCCAGAACATTGCTAGTTTTGCAGTGATTTTAAATCCAGATTTATGTGTCCAGTTCCTCAAACCAAAGTTCACAGAAGAAAGATAGAAATTCTTATAGCACTTACTTCTAATTAAAGCAGCATTCAATGCAAGGTCCAGTCATCATCTTTGGAAACATTTATGCTAGTATACATTGTTTTAAATGTTAGGAAGGTATAATGTGTTGCTTGTCCATTATGCAAATAAGTTGATGTCAAGCCATAAAATTCAAATGTCCACCTCTGAACCCAACTAATCCAAAACTGTAATATCATTTTAATTATAGTATTATAACTTATGAGAAAACATTTATAGAAATACTTTTGACATTCCTAATTCCTAACCCGACTGGCTACTAACTTCTAAACCTGCACACGCTGCTCTGGCCCAAGTAAAGTAAATCACTGACAAATTAATCTCAGGTTATTTCAGCTCTCTTCTGTCTGAATCTTCTTAGTATGAAATCTTCTCAGACGCTCAATTCTTTGTGCGTGTGTGTTGGAAGGGATGTTCGAGAGCACTGTATTCGAGAGCTAAGACGTCAAGGAAAAATGTACATTTCACAGATAGTGTAGGTGCTAATATTGGACTTAGTCCCTTTAGCCCTAACACACCTAGCCTTATAGGTGTGTATTGGGGAATCAAACTTGGGCCCATAAGCTTGCTCCAGAAAAATGTTACTCTTCCAGTCACCCCCACTCTCTCCAGCCTCCAAAAAAAAGAAAAAAGAAAAAAAAAAGGTCCTGATCAAAACAATTTATCAAATAAAAACACAGGATACTCAGCTAAATGTGAATGTCAGATACTTTTTACATGGGCTAGTCTCACTGAAGAGTTAATCGTTCACTTGAAAGTCACCTTTAACAGGAAATCATCTATTTTCCCCGCCAGTGGTAGCACCTAGACTGACTGACAGGCCACGGTAATTCTGGCAGCGCCACTTCCGGCCATCAGGTCGGGCTTCCGGAGCGCCGAGGCCGAGGTCGCGCAGGCCGACCCAGCAGGCCCCGCCCCGCCCCGGGCGCCCCGCCCATCACCGGAAGCCCCGTCCGGCGGAGGTAGGGCTTCGTCCCGCTCGGGGCTCCCGCAGCCCCGCCCCTCCCGGGAAGCGTGTCCCCGCCGGGGCCGAGCTGGCTTTCCCGGGAGGCCGGGCGGAGTACCGGGCCTGCGTGCCCCGCGGGCGGCCCAGCGCCAGGGCTGGGTCCCGGGCCGCCGACGCCCGCTTCCCGCCCCCAGGGGCCGGGGGCGGCCGCTGGGTCCCGGCTCGGGCGGCTCGGCGCCTCCGACCTTGCTCCTCCAGTCGCCGGGGTGGCGGGCCGACCCGCGGGCGGCCGGGGCCGACGACCGCCATTCCCGTGTCGCTGCGCCCGCGGGGGCCGCCCGAGCCGGCCACCATGCCGCTGGGCCTGAAGCCCACCTGCAGCGTGTGCAAGACCACGTCGTCCTCCATGTGGAAGAAGAGCCCGCAGGGCGACATCCTCTGTCACCACTGCACGGGCCGGGGCGGCGGGGGCGGCGGCGCGGGCGCGGCGGCGGGCGGCGGGGTCGCCGGCGGCTTCGGCACCGCCACCTTCGCCGGCACCTCGGCCGGCCCCCCGCAGAGCAACGGGGGCGGGGGCGCCAAGCAGGTGAGCTGTCGGCCCTCCCTGCCCGGTGACAGCCAGGGCCCTCCCTGCGTGACAGGCTGCAGAAAGGGTCCCCGAAGACAGTGCGAGCCGAACTGTGGTACAGGGTTGTAGTAGGCCAACGGCCTCTGGCCCGTTAATCCTCGCCGTTAAATAGTAAACACATTATCAGCTCGTTTAAGGTGACAGCGTTAGCCTCCTGTTGTGAGATATGCGGGAAGCTTTTGGGGGAAGTGCTGGTAAATTAAGTATTTTTCGTGTGTGACGAGCTCAACAAACAAATAATAGTTCCCGCCTTTGGCCTCCACCCACTCCTGTCCTCTTCCCTCTTGGAAGCAGCGCCACCTCTTGGGAGGCCCTACAGAGGTTGACTCATCTTAGCCCCCTACTTTCTAAAGTTATTTTAACAAAGTGCACCATCCTCTGATCTTTGTGAGGTTGTATTATATTGGCTTTTCTTCTACAGCTTTAATTTCTTTTTCTCTAAATTATGTGACAGAGTAAGCAAGAAATTCACAGAAGGTCTGCACGGCTCAGAAATACCAAGTACAAATCTGCTCCAGCTGCTGAAAAGAAAGTTTCCACTAAAGGAAAAGGGAGAAGACATATTTTTAAGTTAAAAAACGTAAGATGATTGTGGACGGTGTGTTTCCTGCTAGGAAGGACACTGTGTGTGTTTGGTGTGCCTTGCCACTGCTTTCTCTAGTCACTGAACGTAGGTGTACCTCTTGGGAACCCTTCTGCAATATTCTGGAGAGAAGGCAAGGGTCCCCAAAAGATGAACTCTGCTGTAAGAAGCTCGCTACTTATACATTAGAAAAGCACTTTCTCCATTTTTTTTCTCTAACTTTTATTTTTTTTTTCAATGTGGAAAATATAAAGTACGAGTCTAAGAGAAATCTTGTATATTTTATCTCATGCAAAGACAGAGAGTGGTTTGTTTTTTAAATTGATTAAATTTGTTCACTGACAATTTCATAAAGTTGTGCGTCTTGAGGAATAGTTAAGTAAGAAAAGTGTTTTTGCTGGGCAGTGGTGGTGGTGCTCACCTTCAGTCCTAGCACTTGGGGGGCAGAAGTAGGTGGATGTCCGAGTTCAAGGCCAGCCAGGTCTACAGAGTGAGTTCCAGGACAGCAGTGCTACACAGAGAAACCCTATCTCCAAAACCAGACACATACACAGACACACGCTCATGCAAAGAAAAGAAAGCAGACTTTTTTTTTCAAAGTGCTAAGCAAATAACAGAATTCTTCAATATCATATTTGTTTATGATAGTCCTAGAAAATGTATCTGTTGGTTCATGATAAATTTGGTGAATATGATTCTAAAATTCTTTATTGTTTAAAAGTCTCACTTTCGAGTCTTTTGTTGTGATGTTTTATTTTGTAGTATGAGAGTGGATGATATTGTAGGTGTATTATTATTTTTATCTCAGCTTGGTATTACTTTCAGAACAAAAGTGTTATACTTGTAGCTTTAGTAATGACATTACTAAAGCAGACACATCCATTTATAAAACAGGCCTAGGAGTAGGGTCACACAAAATGTAGACACTTGTTTAAATTCTTCTTTTATATGTGTGTTTTGCTGTGTGTACCAAGTACCCGAGAGACTAGCAGAAGGCAGCAGATTCCTTGGTACTGGAATTACAGGCAGTTAGAAGCTGCCGTGTGGGGGTTGGGGACCGAGCCTACATCTGAACCTAATCTCCAGGCCTGAGTTTTTTTCTTTTCTTTTTACACTTATTTTTCAATGGTATGCATATGAGTACAAGTACATATGCCATGGTACATATGTGGAGGCCAGAAGAAAATTTCAGAGGCTGGTTCCCTCCTGCTTTGTATTGCAATTTTAAAAGGAGATTTTAATGATGGTGCAATGTGACAAATTACTAAGAACCTCAAAGAATTGCAACAAAACTTAAAATTTTTTCATTTTATATTCATCTGTACATTTTTTATATTTTCTATCTTGTCATGGTTAGACTTTTAGAGCCAGTACGTTTCTAACTGGAATGTTAATGCCTACTGGTGCTCTGAGGAAGCTTAATGTTAGCTTTTAACATCATAATCAGAAACTTTACCTTTTTTTTTTTAGCACTTTTAATTATTGGTAACAAAAATAGTGGAAATATTCAGCTGCTTCACATCAGCATTCAATAAATCTTTTTGATCCCCATGCATATTCGTGCGTGCGTGTGTGTGTGTGTGTGTGTGTGTGTGTGTATACATACTCATGTGGAAGTTGCCATCCTGCCCCAGCTTTCCAAGTGCTGGGATTACATGTGTGTACCACCATACCTGTCAGAATTTTTTCCTGAAGTTTTTGTCACCAAATAACAGGTTTGTTTTTTCAAATTACACAGTTGTCATATGGTTGGGGAAATGTCCATATGTATTTATAGGTATGCAAATTTTTTTTTCTTATAGCCTATCAAAGCTCCTGAATCTGTTTCTACCATAGTCACTGCAGAATCAATCTTCTACAAGGTAAGCTTCCATGGAGTCACTGAGAGAGAGAGAGAGAGCGTAGTTGGGCTGGTTTTAGAATATGCTACCAAAATACTGGCTTAGTCCAAACATCTCTGCTACTTTGTGGGTACACAAGGTGTGGTTACACTTTTAGTTCCCTTCCGAGTTATTTTTCCCTCTAGATGGCTGTTATGAACCATCTCATCCAGATGTTTTACAACTCAGGTAGGAGAGTAAGTTGCCTAAGAGAATATGATATGAAGGTGCTAAGGAATTACTCTCAAAACAGTACTGTACAGTGTGGCGTTACAGAAGAGTCATCCAGAGTGAAGGCGAGAAGTACATCGGTAGACATGAGTGAGTAGATAGATAGTGTTGACCCTGATGTCCTGTGGGTACGCAGGCTAGTGATTCCGACCTGCTGTCAAGCAGCAGCAAGAACAATAAAGGTAGCAGGCACCAGCTCCTCTGCTTGTGTGTTATGCCTGTTAGTTTGGTGTTCTTGTGGGACTCCTACCAGTAGGAATGTGTGTGTCTCTGACTCTTGCCTGCTGTTGGGACTGTTTTCCTGCTATTAAGTTGCCTTGACCAGCCTAAATATGAGGGCTTTTGCCTTGTCTTGCGGCATGCTTGGATCTTGTTTCTTGGAGGCCTGTTCTTTTCTGAAAAAAAGAACTGTATCTGGGGGAAAAGGGAAGTATATGTGTGTGTGGAGGGAGTGGAACTGGGAGGAGTGAAGAAAGAGGAAACTATAGTCCAGATGTGTGAGAGAAGAATCTGTGTTCAATTAAAAAAAGTTTTTAAAAGTCTGGCAGGATGGGCTGGAGAGAAGACTCTGAGGTTAAGAGCACTGGCTGCTCTTCCAAAGGTCCTGAGTTCAATTCCCAGCAACCATATAGTAGCTCACAGCCATCTGTGTTCCAGTTTCAGGGATCCGAAGCTTTCTGGTCTTCTTGTGTATCGGGCACACACAGGGCATACAAACTTATATGCCGTCAAAACAGCCAAACACATAAAGACAGGCAGAGAAAAACTTATGAAAAGTTTACTGAGTCTAAGGAACATTTTTTTTTTTCAGGAATATATCAGTTTAGATCTAAAACTTCAGACTTTCTGCATTTAAAACATCAGTTTTTATATGTAGACTATGTAAATATAGTTGTAATCTGATTAGTGTGTAGATTGACACAACAGACTGGAAAACAGGCTAACAGGCACTACTTCTGCCTACAAGCAGCACTGGAACATTAAGAGAAACGTTTACAATAAGGTTGTCTTTCTACTAAGGTTCTTTCTTTACATGATAAAAATTTGCCTTATAGTCAAGGGAGTATAGAGTTGAACTTAAGAAACAACAGAAAACTGAACAAATGTATTCTTAGTTTACTGTTATTCTTAGTTCATGCTCCAAAATTTTGTTGATAAAGTAAGGTCTTCTTGGGCCAAAGCATACAGATATGTGAGGGATATATCTCGTTAAAGTAGAAGACACAAAGATGCCTCAGCTATCAGCAGTCATTACATGCTGTGGTGTTTGGGGATCTGAGCTGTCATGCAGGAGGCAATGGTATGTCACCTGGACCAAACACTTCATGGTATTCAAATGGTTATGACCTTTGGGTGTATTTATTTTGTTAAAAACAAAACAAAGTACAAAGTCTGTCACAGGCCAGAGTTTTTCTGATATGTCTAGAATTTTATACATTGTTAGTTGTTAATCATAAGGTAAAGTTGAGTGACAGAGAGAGAGAGAGAAAATATGTGTATGTCCTGTGGGTTATGCAGTGAGCTGAGCATTTCAAGTGTTTTGTTTGGTTCAGTCTCCTCTTGGGTGAGTACTGTGTCCTCATTTTATGGATAAGGATACTGACTCAGATTAATTAGCTTCGCCAAGATAGTATAGCGGGGAAGGCGTGGCACAGGCAGGGTGGTGTAAGCCCAGGCATCAGATCTTGGCTCCATTGCCTTGGTGGGCAGTCATGTTACTGATCTCTAATGTTCCTTCATCTGTGAAATAAATATTGTAAGTAGTAATTACTTCCTGAGATTATGCATGTTAAACATTTAGTAAGGTCACTAGTCAGTGAATGATGCAAATGGTCATCATCACAGCTTCACATTTGTATAGAGCTTCGCCAGCAGCTCATTCTGTTCATTAGGTCTAGAAGATAAAAATTTAGTGTCCTAGTGATTTCTGTGTGTGTGTTAATGGAAAAGCATGTGGGACTTGTAATTCCAAGGATCAGCCTTGTTGCTATTTTTACCAAATAGTAAGATCAAAATGCAGCAAAATAGTCAAGTAATGTTGCAGAGAGCCAGCATTGTGGACACTCTCACAGCAGAGCTGACATCATGGTGACAAGTTCAAGAGGTCAGTGTGAGCCTAAGCTGAACTGGAGCCCCAGATCACACATACGAAAGGGAAGGACTGGAGAGCTGGCCCAGCGGTTCAGAATATGTACTCCTGTCTGAGAGGACCCGGGTTCAGTTCCCAGCACCACATCCAGTCACAACTACCTATACCCCAACTCCAGGGATGAAGACACCTTTGGCCTCTGTGGCACCTGCATGCACATGCACGTATGTGCACACACATACACATAATTTAAAAAATAATAAAATATGGGAGAGAGAAATGAAAGGGGGTCACTAGGAATGACAGGTTAAGAATGTGGGCATGCAGGAAGCAGAATGGTTAAGTGACCTTTCTGGAGTACTGCCATGTCAGGGCAGCTGTATGACCTTAGAGTGGCCACTCCTAATGTTCACCTCCTTTGTGTTTGCCAGCAAATGGAGACTGTTTAGATAGTGACTTGGTCATGTTTGTTAGGTGTTTGTACGGCAGTCTCCCCTTATCCGCATCTTTAGTTGTTCTGTTTTATTAGTTATTATTCTGTTTATTACTAGTTAGTGCTGTTAGTCTCTTACCCAGATTATTAAGCTGAGTCATAAGTATGGATATATAGAAGGAAAATTTGGAGTGTGTAGAGTAGCAGTATCTATCCAAGGTTTCAGGCATTCACTAGCGTATTACACTGTATCCCCCAGATAAGGGGAGACTGCTTGTACACTCCTCTGTGCTGGGCAGTGCTTGCCATCGAAATTTTACTAACACCATACCTTTGCATTGCTGTTTTATTTTCACACTGGTACATATTTGTGATTCATATTCATCATATATCTGAGGGCGAGTGATAAACAAATACAATTATTTACACTTTGGGAGAAATTATGTATGAACATAGCTAACAAACACAAACTGTATGTGCTAAGTAACTTAGAACCTTCTGGCAGGCAAGGCCCAGCTGATAATGCTGTGGGCTAGTAAGTAGACTGTAGCTGCAGTACAGTACACACATCGCGACCCCGCTGTGAGCCACCCCCACAGACACATGCACAGGCGTCTCCCAGGAGAAGCTAGTGGTCTGTCAGATGCCCATATTGCAACTGAATTACTAGAGGGTTTTATTCAGAATCCTTTTTGTAGTTAAACTACATTTATCTACATGGCTTTGGCTACTACAGAAGCCTTGTGTCAGGAAAGCACACATCGTTTCTACAGTTAAGGGCCTATGACTTGTTGAAGACTACACCCACTTAAGGACATTCTACATATCATGAATATCAAGCATTATGGATATTCAAAGGTGAAAGCTTCATCTCAAGATCCAGGGAAGGGAACCTGGGATGGATAGCAGAGAAACAGGGAGAATTCAGTGGTGGAATTGTACAGATTAGTTAATATAAGTAGAACAGGAAATGAATATATCGTCACATTGTTGAGAAGATGTAAAACAGAAAGGGTATGGACAAGACAGTTGTCAAAGAGTCTGGGAAATGTGGTAATACATCCTGAATGCTGATTATAGTCAAAAAGGTTTTTTGTCATTTTCTTGTAATATTGTCTTTGAATAGACAACTGGGAAGGGCAGTGTGTAGAGTCTAGTCTTACCAAGCAAATGCTGATTTTTAAGGTAGTACAGGAAGTAGGGATAGTGTAGATTTTTTCCTTATTTTTTCTTTCCATTTTTTTAATTTTTATTAATTATACTTTATTCACTTTGTATCCCCCTTATACCTACCTCCCTCTCCCAATCCCACCCTCCCTCCACCTTCTCCACACATGCCCTTCCCCTAGTCCACTGATAGGAGAGGTCTTCCTCTCCTTCCTTCTGATCCTAGTCTATCAGGTCTCATCAGGAGTAGCTGCACTTCCTCTATGGCCTGGTAAGGCTGCTCCCCCCTCAGGGGGAGGTGATCAAAGAGCAGGCCAATCAGTTCATGTCAGAGACAGTCCCTGTTCCCATTACTAGGGAATCCACTTGGACACTGAACTGCCATGGGCAACATCTGTGCAGGGGTTCTAGGTATCTCCATGAATGATCCTTGGTTGGAGTATCAGTCTCAGAAAAGACCCCTGTGCCCAGAATTTTTGGTTCTGTCGCTCTCCTTGTGGAGCTCCTGTCCTCTCCAGGTCTTATTATTTCCTACTTCTTTCATGAAATTCCCTGGACTCTACCCAAAGGTTGGCCATAAGTCTCAGCATCTGCTTTGATTGTCTGCAGGGTAGAGTCTTTCAGAGGCCCTCTGTGGCAGGCTCCTTTACTTTTCCCTGTTTTCTCCTTCTTCTGATGTTCATCCTCGTTGCCTTGCTGTATGGGGTTTGAGCATTTAACCAGAGACCTCCTTGATTAGTTTCTTCAGGTATACAGATTTTAGTAGGTGTATCCTAGTGTAGAAGATTTTTAGGCAAATGAAACTACTCAATGATCTGACCATAGTGGATCCATGTTATACATGTCCCAAGCCCACAGATTCTATAGCACCAAGATTAACTAAGGTTTATGATGTTTCGGTCGTCATGATGTGATATGTAGGTTCATCAGTTGCCATAAATGTTTCACTCTGATAATGGGGCACGGATAACAGAAGATGCTGTGTATGTGCCAGCTAAAGGGACTAGGGAAATTCACTACTTCTACTTTCCATGATTTTGTTGTGAATTCAAAACTATTCCTAAAATCAAGTCTTTGTTTTAGAAGTAGAGATAGTATTCATGACATAAAAATTTATATAAAGAAATACTTTCCCAGTTGCAAATTGTCATATATGTGTTTTATTCAATTATTTTTCATTCAGAAGTGAAACAAACATCAACATAATGTAAAACATTGATGCTCAGACTTTATTTTTTACTATTTTGCACATTTGCTTACTGATGAATGAAGTTGTTTTTTTGTTTTTTTTTTGTTTTTTTTTTTTTGTGGCTGTGATCTGTTACTATTTTAAATACAATATTATTTTCTATTTTCCCCAGGGAGTGTATTACCAAATTGGTGATGTTGTTTCTGTGATTGATGAGCAAGATGGAAAGCCGTACTATGCTCAGATCAGGGGTTTTATTCAGGACCAGTACTGTGAGAAGAGTGCAGTACTGACGTGGCTCATTCCTACCCTCGCCAGCCCCAGAGACCAGTTTGATCCTGCATCGTATATAATAGGTAAAGCTGGCACAGTGTCTTGTATTTAGTTAAGTCTTCAATACTTTGTGAAAGAATGTGTTAGTCTGTGTGAGCTCTCAAAATGCCATAGACTGTATGGCTTCTGCAGACTGTTCTGAAGGTTGAAATCAGATCTAGGTGCTGTGACAATGGGTGTGTGGTGAGGTCTTGCTTCCCGGTTTGCAGATGGCTGCCTTTTTGCCGTGTCCTCTCATGGTCTGTGTGTGCATTGAAAAAGAAGACTATTATCTCTTATAACGACACCAGTCTTACCAGCTACAAGTCCATTATTGTGTTTTAATTAAAATGCAGTTATATTTTCTCCTTTCCTCCCTCCAGTCCTCTGGCATACCCCACCCTATTCTTTCTCAAATTCATGGCTCGACTTCTTTTATTGTTAGTTGTTTAATTACTGTTTAATTGTTATATATTAGTGCATATTTCTGAATACATAAATACAGTCTTCTCACTTTATTTAATGTTCTTTAGTCATATGATTTCTGGCCTGACTACTTGGTAATAGATAGCCAGTTTGGGGACACAGGCTTCTTCGTTACTGCTGTGTTGCTGTGAGGAAACACCAGGACCAGCTCTCTCACCCTCAGTAGTTCTTGCTTGCCTGTAGTCCTTTGTCTAGAGTTGAGGGCCCACTCTTCTGTCTTTATTTGACTCTGGCTGCCTGTCAAATGGTCCCATCTTCAGCACATAATGTGTAATGATAGACCATCAGCATATGAATTTAGAGGCTTGAGAACAAAGTTCAATCCAGAATAAAAAGGCATAAATGTTATTAAGTACAAAAAAGTAGAGAGCATTGTAGGAAATTCATGTACATTTTATATTGTTGATATTTGAGTGTCATTTGTTACTGTGGCTAGAACAGTGTACCCACTAACACATGATGTGGATAAGATTTGTTTGTTTGACCCAGGCCTGTAAGAATTACAAAGGAACCTAGGTCACATAGATTACTCAAAACCAACTTCTAAAAGAACTTTCCTAATTAGTTTTAAAAACTAAATTCTCAGGATACATCTCTGTACACAGCATACATGATATGCTACTTAAAAAAAAAAAATCATTGTTGATGGTTGAAATGGCACACTCTACTCAGTTGATCATGTCAAGGTGTTCAAAGAGAGAGTACAAATAATTCTTGACAGAGTCATAAAAAAAGACTGGCCAATATAATTTTTAAAGTTCAGCTTTCTTCAGTTATTCTCTACTTTTCATTCTTTCTGTAACGGGCATGCCTTGAATTTGCATCCCAAAGGGAAAGACATTTCTATGAGTGAGAACTTCAAGGACAACTAATATTCCACTGTTATTCTGTTATAACATGTCAAGCTTGTTAAATGACCAAACAGTTCTTACCTTTTATGCCTATAAGTATGGAACCAGCAGAGGCCCCTATGTTCTGAATTGTCTCACTTCCTTTTCATGATCCTCAAAGTTTGGGTGCTCCCCTGCTGTAGATGATGTCACATGGTGTGAAGGTCAGAGCACAAGCTGTGGAGCCAGATACTGGTTTCATGGCCCCTATGCTTTTACCAGCTGGTTCCAGAACTCACCAGTCCTTATTCTGTCTTACCTCATTGTGCCTCTATGTAAAATAGGAAGCAGTGCCCCATGAGGATTATGTGAGGATCCAAAGTATGTGTGTATGTATGTATATATATATATATATATACATACACACACTCACACTCATACACACACATATGTATTACATATATATATGTAAAGTATGTAGAATAGTACCAGCACTTCATAAACTCTGTCATATTCAATAATTTGGATCCTTTCTCGGTTGAGTCACTTTGTGGGAGGATGCTGTCTTCCTTAATCAGTTAAAGTAGAATAAATAATGGAGTATGACTTCACAGTAATACATGTTTCAAGGGCTAATGTCAGGTTGGTTATCCCTAGAGTGCTTCCTCTTAATGTTTGAGAATGCTAACATTTTATAAAAATGATACCTGTGTTCAAAACTGTATTTAACTTTTCTATTGGCTGTCTCATAGGGCCAGAGGAAGATCTTCCAAGGAAGATGGAATACCTGGAATTTGTCTGCCATGCACCTTCTGAGTATTTCAAGTCAAGGTCATCACCATTTCCTACAGTTCCCACAAGACCAGAGAAGGGCTACATATGGACTCACGTTGGACCTACTCCTGCTATAACTATTAAGGAAACAGTTGCCAACCACTTGTAGTTATAAAACCAAACCTGGGGCACACTTACATAGCATGTATGAAGCTTTGATTTTAATCCCCAGAACATACACACATATTCCAAAATAAAACGTGAGTTCCAGTTTTCTTATATTTATAATATAATGAAGTAAGCCACACATTTGTCTCTTTAAGTTTTTTTCTTGAAGTTTTTGAGACAGAGTCTCACTGTGTAGCCCAGGCTGGCCTAACCTTGAATTCCCCCTGCCTCATCCTCAAGTGCTGGGATTATAGATGTGTGACACCATGGCTACTTAACACCAATACTACTTCATGAAGTTCTGTGGAAACATGAGAAATTTTTTATCCTACTACCCAGTAATTATTAGCTTGTTCCTCAGACTCTTACCCTTTTACTACAGTCCCAAAGTTGGGAAGAAGCATCTTCCTGCTCACAGAAGCTACAATAAAGCTCATTGTAAACACTGTTGGAAATGATTTTCTAAATGCTAATGATCCAGTTTTGGATTAAAATATATTTTTACGATGGATTTAGTTTGGATTCTTTATTAATCTCATTTGAACTACTTAAAAAGGAAATAGGATGCCCCTCCAAGTGGTATTACATAGAAACCTCAGCCTTTCGATTGTATCACTCACCTTATAGTAAAGAGTAGCACAGTGTTACCTAGGGGAGTCACAGGGTTAATTCAACTTGTTACCCCTCACCCAGGTGACCTTTTCGGGAGAGAACTCTGGGAGGTTTGCTGTCCAGCAAGGCATAGCTATGTATTTCGTATATGCTGCGAACCAAAACTGCAGCCCTGATACCTAAACTGGAGAAACTGAGGGAGGACTGTGTGCTCAGGTTTTTAAGCTGGAGGACAATTTTATTAAGAGTTTAAAAGAAAAACTACAGGGCAGGCAAGCTGTAAACTGCAGCAGCTGCCCAGAGGACCTAGATGGTGAAGAAAGGTGAAGAGTAAAAGGCACGCCTTTATAGGTTAGGTATAGAGGTTTGGCAAGCAGCCAGATAGCAGGGAGGGGCCTTTAGAAAAAGTGAAAAGGTCCAAAGTACTTAAAAAAAAAAAAAATCATTGTTAGGATGTCACTAGCATCTGGAAGAAAGAGACAGAGAGTCAGGCTTTTCTGAGACCTAAAATAGCCTTGTGGCAGCCAGGGATCCTCTTGTGAGCCCACCCACACTATAATCACACACACTTGTCTGTATATTTTAAATTTCTGTCTTCCATACCCAGTTACTAGATATTAGTGATACTGTTTGTGTTGATGATGGCTAACTCTATAAGTTAGGTCACAGGTTCAGAGAGTATCAAGATAAAATCATGTTACAATTAGGAAAAAAAAACCATATTTAAAGATTCTGGACTGGAGGCTGGATCAAGAGTCTTACCAGGTATTTTTGGGTGAAGGGATTACATTCATTTAAATTGTGTGTAAATGCCATGCTTTGATTAAAAAAAAAAAAAAATCAGAAGATAGAATTATCTTCCATAACAGTCAAGAAGTTGCAAGGCATACAATCTGCCAAATACCAGAAAAACAGTGACTGAGTCTGTGACTGCCAAGAAATCTCTTCCTCCAAAAGCAAGCAAATTGGTTCCACCACTGATCTAATATTAAGGATTCAGTATAGAAATGGGAATAAAATACACAATCTATTATAAATAACCCTAGCCTACACTATTCAGATAGTCCCGTGCATTATATAACCACAGCATTTACCATTCTGTGGTTTTATAGATTAACCAAGTTTATTAAAAAGAAATTTACAGACATCATTTTATAGTAACAACATAGAGACAGACCATAAGGACAAACAGACAAACACATCTACAAAAATCAGAAGTATATTTTATGCTAAAGTTACTTTCTGTCCAGGTCGAAATGTTGTTCCACTTTGATATTTTCTCTTCTTTGGATTTTGAAAGTTTTCATACCTTAAAAAACAAGAAAGATGATATTTTGAGCTGGAGAGATGGGTGAGCAGTTAAGAGCACTGTCTGCTCTTCTGAGTTCAATTCCTGGCAGCCACATAGTGGCTCTGATGCCCTCCTCTGGCGTTCAAATGTACATGCAGATAGAGCACATTAAGTAAATATTTTTTAAAAGGATATTTAATGAATATTTAAAATTATAAAACAAAGATAATGGATTCTTTTAAGGTAGCCTTATAGTTTAAGAAATGAAACCCCTGGAAAATTTATAGAGTAAATTAAAAGGTTCTTAATTTTTTAAAGTTTCAGTCTAGTAGAAAAAAGAAAATAAACAGTAGCTTAGGACAGAATACAAATGGCAATGAATATGGAAGTTATAACCTTTATAGTTTTATTTAGGACAAGGACACTACTGAAGACATAATTTCATGGTTAGAACAGTGGGACACCGAGGTGTGGGAGAGTTTGAGGTGTAGCATCTGTGCTCTGCCACTGAAAGCCACTGGACACTATCTAGAGCAAGTTGGCAGTTATTCTGAAAGCCTTAGAAATATTAGCACCGTGATGCAGTGATTCTATATCCAGTGAACTAACGAAAGAAGCACACACGTTTGACTCCACACTGCTTATAGCAGTGAGCACCTAGAGGCAACAGAAATGTTAATCCTGGACAGTGGCAGAGAGCAACTAGAAACTGGCATTGAACACGACAAAGTGACCACCTGCACAGTCTGCAGTGTTCAGGATGGATGGACAGTAAGTCTACCAGCACAGGTAGAACGTTCTTACTTTGGTAAAAGAACGTAAGTACACAAAGTCACGTGAGAGTAAGGAATTTTGTGTCTTATCTTTCTTGTAAGTAAGTACACATTGCTGACATGTACACCTCACCCCCAAAGAATTGCAAAACTGAACAAAACTGAAGTATTTATTCTTAAATGAAGCCAGGAATAAATATGTTCTGAATTGTGTTGAATCACTGACATGGAACAGTGGCTGGCCAGTCCACCATTCAGAGTAGCCACAGTATACACTGCAAGAAGACTACCTAAACCCCAGTGAGTAGTAAACTTTCTATAAATGAGGCAGATTCTGAGTAAATATCAACACTAATAAAATGTAAATCATCTTAAGGCAAAACCAATAATATCTATACCTATAGACATACATATAGATATATACATATTAGTTGTTTAGATTTGATTTTGAGGTGTAGCCCTGGTTGTCCTAAAACTTACTATGTAGACCAGGCTGACCTCAAACTCACAGCAATCCACCTGCTTCTGTCTTCTAACTGTTGGGACTAAAGTGCTGCACCACCATACCCAGCTAAAACCAGCATATTTTTCCAACAAATTAGGGAAAGTCTAATTAGGTGCGTGGTTATGACTATTTCTTGGTTTCGGGAATGGGATAACACTGGGTCTCCAGCAGATGTTCTGACTTATACCCCAGTTTAATCGTGTGCAGCTTTAAATTAGCTTCCAAATCTTAAAAACTTTTAAACACTTAAGAGCTCAAGTGAACAATATGTTTCAGTGGTTACTTACAGCTCAGCAAATTCCTTCCCTTCATCTTCATTAATGGATGGCCTTGTGTGGGCAAGTGCAGTCATTAAATGTGCCTGGCTAATAGCAAAACTGGTTTTGATTGGTTCTGGCTGGTTAAGGGATTCATCCTCCTTAAATAAAAAGCAGATTAAGCAAATGTTAATTTGAGGAGTAACGTGGCAGTCCCATGTCATTTCTTGTCAGTTTTTTTTCCTGAAAAGCATACATTCTCTTTCTCATGAGTCACTCACAGAGCAAGGACGGTCATCAGACTGAGTCACTGTGCTTTAGCACCTTGCTTGTAAATGCGGCTCAGTTAAAATGCAAAGAAATATGAGTTAAAAAAGGAAAAGCAACTTCAAAAGTTTTAACAGTTCTAAGAAGAGGGGGGAAAGGCCATACTCCACTCTGGCTCCGGTATCTGCCTTTGATGATGCTGATATCCGCTTTCAGCTGGTCTCTCTGTTCCTGTGTAAGGTCTTGGTAGCCTTCTTGGGAAGGTGTTCTGAACACAGGATGTTGCGTAAGCAGTGGGTCTTTCCCGGGAGGTGCAGGTAAATCCTGAGTCACTGAGCTTGGTGCGGACTGACAATGTGAGCTCTGCATGACGGGTGCCGTGAAGACCAAAGGAAGAGAGATGGGAGAGAAGGGAGGGAGAAAGAAAAACAGCCGTGTTCACTGAAGATAAAAAATGAAAACTTTGTTTCCTTTTTTAAATTCACTGTTTGGGAATTTCCCGTATGCACACATGTTTTGATCAGCTCCAGCGGACTCCCTGGCCTCCCCCTCCTTCCATACCCTCTCACGCTTCCCCATGTGGTGCAGCCAGGCTGTGCAGAAGAAGGCTGTCCATTGGAGCACAGGCAGACTAGGAGGGGTTATAGCCCTCAAGCAGCAACCTTAACTTGGGTAAGTTTGTATTAATTCACTAAAGCGAAGCAAGTGAAAAGATGGTATTCGATAACCAGGGTCCACGGGTACCTAAGGTGTAGGCTCTCCAGAGCATACAGATTTCTTTTCTTTTAATACTTTGCTATGCAAACCTATCACACTGATGGCCAAGGGTATTCAGGTTCAGCATGAGCCTCTTACTTTTCTGAGTTAAACTCTCTGACCTGGAGCTCCATGATGCTAAACTGGCTGCCTGGCAAACCTCCGTGGTCCTCCTGTCTCCGCCTTCCCAGGCTGGAATTACTGATAGGTGTCACTGTGTCCACCTAACTGCATGGGTCCCGGGGAATCACAACTCAGGTCATGCTTCTGTGTCATGTGCTTTACTGACAGTTATCTCCCTAGCCCACCTCTCTTAGTCCCTAGGATATAGTTATGCTAATGTTCCCAGATATTTCTAGAGAGAAGCTAAAAAACAGAAAACAATTAAATTCTATTAAAAAAAGACCTTAATTCTTAGAAATAAAAGTTGGTATTTTTTATATTTCTAGAGATCTGAATTGTTAAAACAAATATAAAAATAACCATGCATGTTAAATGTCATATATTAAAAATAGCAAGCCACTATTGATTTGAGTAGGTATGTATTTTAACTAACTAGAATAATAATGCTGTCCCTTTTACTCTGGTTTCCTTCTTGATATATAGTATTACTTCTTTTCATATTTTCCATAAAAAGAATCACAAATAGATAACATTTTGTTAGAAATTTTAGACATCATTGAAGCAAATGTTTTAATATCCAGAAGAACCCTGTGATGATAAAGTTTACACTTAATATTAAATAGATCTTCTCACAGTAAAACAGGTTTAAAATCACTCCCGGGGAGAGAAACACTGAGAGACCACAACAGAGAGCCACGCTGGGCCCCGTGGAAACAAGCTCTTGCTCCTGTTCTAAATGCTTAACAAAAACTAAAATGACTAATTGGTGTAACTTAAAAAACAAGACTACTTTGATTTCAGACCAACCAAGCAGAAAAACTATGTGGGGCTGGTTAGGAGATGAATGCCTGCCCAATGTCACACCAACATCTATCTTATGTACCTGAGCCATGCAACAATGAAAGCACAAGATACCAAGTCAGAAGAAGTCCCATTGCCAACTTCTGATTCATAGGAGCTTCCAAAGTAGAGTCGGTACATGTTGAATTTTGATTCATCTGGAAGGACCTCAGACATCTCGAGGGAAACAAGGGACTGGTCTAAGCCACACTCTCCATCTGCAGCTGAGTCGTCGGAACCACTGCTGTGGTTAAGAAAGACCATTGAAGACAGACTCAGGTCGCTCTCAGAGCTGGAGCCTCCGTCCTAAATTACAGAGAGAGTGCCGGCTGTAAAGACTGAAATACTCCGTAAGCAGAAACAGGAACAGACACTGTTCTATACAGCAGCACAGGGACATTTGCACTCAACAAGCTCTCAATCCTCTATGGGTCTGAGGCACACAATAAAAATGTTTTTATGAGACAAGGGTTCGTGCAGCCCACACTGGCCTTACATTTGCTATGTAGCTTAGGATGACAATGATTTTATGATTCTTAGGATTTCAGGTGTGCACCAACATGTCTGATTTACCTGAGGCTGGGGGATGAATCCAGAGCTTTGGGCACACTAGGCACTCTAACAATTGAGCTACACACCCAGCCCTACACAGTACAAATGTAACTATTATCATAAAGGAAGATTAAGATGAAGTGCGTAGAGAATCCATCAACTATCCCAACAACAACAAAGCTAGAATTCAGAATCTAGGTCTTATTTCTCCATCTCTGCTTTTCACTCATTTTTGGTTTTGCTATGAAATGAGTTCTATCAACCATATTTTAGCAGTGTATGTCTCTGTACATATATATACTTGTAAAGCACTCATATGAAAAAGGGAGTGAGAAAGAAGAATCTGTTGTTCTGCCAACCTCTCTGCCAACCTACCTTTCAGACTCATCACCACCAATGCCAGGTGTAGTGCATAAAAGACCCTGGCTACCCAGATCTCTCTCTCTCTCGTTTGTTCTCCGTCTCTCATGTCCCCACTCTGGGTCAGCCTTCTGCTCTCCCTCCTCTTTCCCTACCTAGATCTGTTTCATGCTGTGACTTTGGGGCGTTCCTTAGCTAAAGTAACTGCTGCCGCTTTATCCAAACAGACACCTTCAGGGCTAGGGATGTAGCTTGTTTGTACAGGGTTTGCCTAGCATGTGTTGGGTCCTGGTTCAACCCCTATACCATAAAGAAAAAAAAGAAACACTCACCCATTAAAGTGTCTTGAGGTGGGGGCTGTGGAGATAAGTGAGTAGGTGCAGTTCTGTGCAAGCTTGGGGCCCCGCCCCGACTTTAACCCCCAGAACCCACATTAAAGGTCTGGGCACAGAGGTGTGGGCTTGTCACACGGTGCTGGGCTATTATAACCTAGATGCTCATTGGCCAGCAAGCCTTCCCACAGTTCAGACTAGTGAGAGACCCTGTCTCAAGAAGGGGAGGGGATGCCTGGCGACTGCCACTCAAGGATGTTCACTGTCTTCTGCACACATGCGCACAAGAGCGCACGCGCACACACGCGCGCGCGCGCGCGCACACACACACACACACACACACACACACGTGTGCATCCCTGCCCCTCCCATCTGGCTTGGAACTTTTTAAGAAATGTAGGGCCTGCAGAAATTCTTGACAAAAAAATTGGAGGAGGGAAATATATAGAAAAGTTTCCTAGATAATATAAGCAAAGTCTCTATTGCAGCAAATTATCTTCTACAATAATTAAATGCACAATGCCATCATTAGAGAAAGTGCTGGCTGTAGAGCTGGGAGATAGAAAATACAAAAGAAACAAGATTGTCTTGTATCAGGAAGTAAGGAAGTTGCCAAAGAATGATGAGGATCTGAGATAAGGGCACACGTGCCATCCACAGGAGACTGCCACTGGCTGGCTGGCTCAATTTCATCTTGGAGATAAATAATAACTTCAGTTAGAATAGAAAGTAGTTAATAAATGAATGAAAGAGAAGGGCCAAAGGTCAAAGTATATGGGCCATGTGTGCACATTTCTTAATGATTCTTATTTTTCTATTTCTATGAATTCTACTCGACTCTAATATCTTTCTAATACCAAATAGTTGGTTACTAGTGAGGTAATGCTGGGGAAACGTACCAAATCTTCATGATTAAAGGTCTTTGCACATCCCACACTCCAACTTTTGAGTATTTACCATAGGCAGTAGAAAGTTTCTACACAGTCTGGCACCGGAGCACTCTGTGCCCCAGTGAACGCCCCAACAGCCTTCCCACAGGACTCACATGGAGTCCAGCGGGCAGCAGCCTGCCCTGCAAGGCCTCCAGCTGCGCGTTGTACAGCAGAGCCTTCAGGTCAGCTCCCGTGAAGGACTCCGTTACCGATGCCACGTGCTGAAGGTCCACGTCATCTGCCAGAGGCAGAGAGTCACTGAGGACATTTAAAATCTCAAGACGAGACGCCTGAAGGAAGAAAAGCTAATTGACTAAACAGAGAAAAAAAAATGAACTGTTACTGTCAATTGTGACTCCTAAGACTTTTTTCATAAATGAACCTGACATAACTAACAAGTTTTCCAAGCAGTCTGAAAATGTACTAGACGATACTAACTGTCTTCTTAGAACTGTGTCCCTACATGGAGACACTGGCAGGAAAATGAACAAAAGGCAACATTGGTAACTACTCAGTGAATAGCTTCATTCTCATACTGTGGGTATTTCTTAGATATGGGCCAGTGTGCCAACAAGGGAGAATCATTAAGAAATGTGCACACATGGCCCATATACTTTGACCTTTGGCCCTTCTCTTTCATTCATTTATTAACTACTTTCTACACTTGGGAGCAAGGGTTGGCAGAGCATGACAGAACTGTTGAAACGCCTTTCTCTGCGTGACCTGGCCACATGCTCACGGTCCCACTTGCTTGGTTCTGAGTGGGAGGTTCCTGACAGGATATGGAGAGCAGGACCACAGAGGACGCGGTTCAGGTTTCCTGATTTTCTCCTATTGGTCAACATAACCGTGAATGGGAGTGAGCTGAGGGTGGCGCATGGGCACGGACGCAGCGTCTTTTATTCTTTGAGCAAACCGTAAACAAAGCCTTTGCTAAGCTGTCTTTGTTGTTCGTTTGTTTAGTTTGTTTTTCAAGACAGGGTTTGTCTGTATAGCCTTGGCTGTCCTGGACTCACTTTGTAGACCAGGCTGGCCTGGAATTCCCAGAGATCCACCTCCTCTGCCTCCTGAGTGCGGGAAGTAAAGATGTGCCGCACCCACCACCGTCCCCTGTAAAGCTGTCCTCCAAGGACAGCTGCTACCGTACCATGGCGAAAGGAAAGCTCCCAGGCCAAGGACGTGGCCCCTGCTGGGTTTGTTACCTGATCTGGAGGAGGGCAGTACACACACTTATCCAGTCGGCCAGGCCGCAACAGGGCAGGGTCAATCAAGTCAGGGCGACTAGTGGCAGCCAACACATAAACTCCTGACGGGAAAAGAACTCTTTCAGCACGATCACTTAGTAACTTCTTTTACAGTGTCTACGCGCGTGCATGCGTGTTTAATAACAGTGACTTACCCTGCAAGCCTTCTACTCCATCTAACTGTGTCAGCAACTGGTTAACGACTCGGTCTGTAACGCCTGTGTTGTCGTGACCTCTTCGAGGAGCAATGGATTCAAACTCGTCAAAGAAAAGAATGCAGGGCTTTGCAGCCTGTGCTCTGGGAAAAGAACAAACATCTGTATTTGCCAGGGCTCCAGAGTTTTCAAACTCTTCATACACACACACACACACACACACACACACACACCACACACATGCACACATGTAGCAAAGACTATAATATATAGCATAGTACAATGTAGTACATATTTAACCTTCACAACCAATCCCTAAAGAAAGCACATTACATGCAATTATCCTTAATTTCAGGGTAATTAAATTTAAACTGAGTTTTCTGTTTGGAGTAGTGCTACTTATTTATATTATATTATTAATTCCCTTATAATTTCATATATACACATAATGCTATATGCCTCCCATCTCGCTCTCTATATTGATTCTTGAGAGCTTAAAATATTTATTTAAATATTTTGTGAGATTTGTTTAGATATTTTAAGAGATTCATTCCTCTGGATAAATAAAAGACTAAAACCCAAATCTTAGTCAATAGGTCCTTATAATGGGTAGCCATTAAAAAAAAAAAGAATTATTTGTATTTTTTAATTGTATGTACCCTCAGATGCCAGACCCACCCTTCTCTTCTCCCCCTATGCCCTTTCCCTAATCCCCTGATAAGGGAAGACCTCCTCCCCTTCTATTTGAGGTCTCATCAGGAATGGTTGAATCATCTTCCTCTGTGGCCTGGTAAGGCTGCACCACCCAGGGGGAGGTGATCAGAGAGCCTGCCACTGAGTTCATGTCAGAGACAGCCCCTGTACCCCTTAATAGGGAACCCACTTGGAAACTGAGAAGCCTATGGGCTTCCTTTGAACAGGGGGTCTTGGTCCTCTCCATGCATGGTCCTTAGTTGGAGTATCAGTCTCTGTAGGTTCCCTTGGGCCCAGGTATTTTGGCTCTGTTGTTCTCCTTGTAGGGTTCCTGCACCATCCAGGTCTTTCTATCTCCCTCTTCTTCCATAAGGATTCCAGCACTCTGCCCAAAGTTTGGCTATGAGTCTCAGTATCTCCTTCGATACCCTGGTGGGTATCGAGGTCCTCTGTGGAAGATTCCTGTCCTATTCCTTGTCTTCTCCTACTTCCAATGTCTATCCTGTTTGCCCTTCTGAATGAGTATTGAGCATCTTCCCTAGGATCTTCCTTGTTGTTTAGCTTCTTTAGGACTACAGACTTTAGAATGTTTAGCCTACATTATATGGCTAATATCCACTTATAACTGAGTATATATCATATGTCTCTTTTTGCTTCTGGATTACCTCACTCAGGATGATCTTTTCTAGTTCCCATCATTCACCTACAAATTTCATGATTTCCTTGTTTTTAATTGCTGAGTAGTATTGTATTGTGTCATAATTTCTGTATCCATTCTCAGTTGAGGGACTGAGAATTGTTGTTTCCAGATCCTGGCTATTACAAATAAAGCTGCTACAAACATGGTTGAGCAAATGTCCTTGTTGTGTACTTGAGCATATTTTGGATATATATCTAGGAGTGGTATAGCTGGATCTTGAGGAAACACTATTCCTAATTGTCTGAGAAAGTGCTAGATTGATTTCCAAAGTGGTTGTACAAGTTTACACCCCCACCAGCAATGGAGGAGGTTCCCCTTTCTCCACAACCTCTCCAGCATGTGTTGTCTTTTGAGTTTTTCATCTTAAAGGCTCTATTTCTTAAATTGCATAGTAGATAAATAAACCTTGACTCTATTATTCTTTTACAAATTATACTTATATTACTATGCAGTCTTTTAGTTGTATACAGTATAACAAAATTTTTAGAATATGATAAAGTAAATTTTCTTTTAAAATTTCCCTTACAGTTGAATAATTATTTCAACTTTAAATATTATCTTCTGTATTAATATGTGATCTTACATACATTCAGTAATACGAGCATTGGTGAAAGTGGATATATGGCATATTGACTTCTAAGAGATGTTAGGAACCAGGAGAAAAAGAACTTAAAACTTACAAAGATAAGGGTGTTTTAGGAATAATTATTTGTTTCATATAAGAATCTAATTTCAAAGAAAAGTGTGGTGATATATACTTCTATTCCCAACAATTAGGATGCTGAGGCAGAAGGACCATGAGTTTAAGGCTAGTATGTCCTATACAGTGAGATCTTGTCAAGAAAAAAAGAAAGAAAGAAAGAAAGAAAGAAAGAAAGAAAGAAAGAAAGAAAGAAAGAAAGAAACAAAGAAACAAACAAAGAAACAAAGAAACAGAAAAAGAAAAGATGAAACAAAGATTTAGTCTGGTCTTTGAACAACTACTTATGATTCTACTTTCAGAAATATTACTATTGTAAATATAAAATAATTTCCAATTTTTAATATTAAAAACAACATATTTTTAGGCAGTATTTGCTAAAATAAAATCTATGCCCTTTGGTTTGTTAATAATTCACCTAAATCATTGGTTTCAAATACCATTTCTTTAAAAAAATGACCAAAAACATGACTGATAAATGATAAGCCAGTTACTTCAAACATTCAAAAAAACTCACCTGATGAAAACATCTCGGACGGCTTGTTCACTTGCTCCAATGTATTTGCTGAGTAACTCTGGCCCCTAGAGAATAAAGTAAAGTCAGAGCTGAGATGAAATTAATTATAAACAAACAGAGCTTTGGATTTTGATTAAGCATAATCAGTTACAGACCTTTTAAGACAGGGCTGAGTGGATGTCTCTTATGTATATTTTACAAACTAGCTATGCTGGGCTTAGTTTTTAGGCCTTGATTTCCTCAGCCCAGACACTGTCCTCGATGTTCTCGTGGTCTGTGTCTTTATTTCCTTTACATCTTTGTCAAAATGTCCCTCTTGTCCTCATCTGACAACGCTGTATGTCCACCCCAGCTGCTCCACACATCCTTACTGCGTTTTTTCTGCTGTGCTTGCTACCAGCAGTGGCTTTTCTGCTGATGTCTGTTTAATGTCTCTTTCCACTAGTACTATTGCTTTTGCTGTATACTCTGGAAAAACTTTGGATCTCACATGCACTAGGTAGAGTAAAAGGCAGCCAGCAAGTGAGAGAACCATAAAACTGGCCTTTGCTTTTGTAGGTCTTTTCTCCCTTAAATACAGTCTGCTCTTTCTCTTGATATTTACATAAATTCTATTAAAAAAGATGGTGATTTGCCTTAAACAAGAACATGAAAGCCATTCAGAAAGAGAGGTGGATCTGCACTCAATTCCTTACAGGTATAAACCAATCAGGGCCTCATTCTTCCCTCCGAGCTTTCCAAACAAAAGGTTAACCCACAGCGAGACCTAACTGGAGTTGGCATGGCCGGCCGTGATGGGGGAGTAGTGTTTCCTGAAGACGTTAAGCTGGAATTGCCCCACGACCCCGTGACTCTGCTCACCACATACCAAAAGAAGCGGGAGTGTATATCTACAGGAAACTTGTGCATGGATGTTTACAACAGCATTATCCACAAAGCCTAAAGGCAGGGTGCTGCAGAGGCAGCTCACTGCGTACACACACCTCCACAAAGCCTGGAGGCTTGAGTCCTGTCCATGGATCCACATGGTGCCAGGAGAGAACCACCTCCCACACGTTGTCCCATGACATGGTCACTGTGGCACATGTGTGCCCACACTCATACACATATGCACAGAACAAATAATTTAATGTTAAAGCCCAATGGTAAAACAGTCCAAAGTTTACTAGTGACAACTAATATCTAAGCAAAATGCAGTTCATGGAATGTACACAAAAGGGATTAGGTTAACACACATGACGACATGGAGCACACTAAGTGAAAGCAGCTAAACACAGAGGGCACACGTTACTTGATTCTTACATACAAGATATTAAGAACAAGTAAGTCCATAGACACAGAAATAAGATTAGTGGCTGCTAAGGAATGAGAGAAAGAGGGAACGGAATGAAATGGCTTCAAAAATAAAAGTTAGTAGGCTCACAGCTGTGTGAGTGCAAAACAATGCCAATGAAGTCTACACTTCCAAATGGCTAATTGAATGCTAAGTTTCCCTCATTTAAAAAGACCAGGGAGGAAGGCAAAGGCACACATACCTTGATACTAATAAAGTTCATTCCACTCTCTCTTGCAACTATCCCAGCAAGTAAAGTTTTTCCTGTCCCAGGAGGACCGTAAAGTAATATTCCAGTCCTCTGTCGTATGGGCAGGTTCGCAAATAATTCTGGGTACTGAAAAACATTAGAAGTACGACAGAGAACAACAATCTAAGCAGAGACTGAATACAGCATAGAGAAAGTATTTGGGTGGTGAGAACTGTACCTCCCTTTATTAACAGTAACACAGCAGCAGAGAAGGGCATTCCTATTGGAAACAACGGGCAGAGTCCATGTGAACACACTATCTGTCAGGGCCTCAGGACTTCCACTTCACTGTTTGTTCTGGGCTACTAAAGTCAGCTAAGGTGCAACCACCAAGCTACAGAACTCAACCAATCTTTCTTTTTCAAGTGTAATAAAAGTAGTGTTAGGAAAACAAGGACCAAATGCCCAGTCTTCCAATATACTGCCACATGTGTGGTTAAACTGTGATAGCTGAGACAGTCAGGTACTGACTCGGAGAGCTAACAGGAACGCACGTGCCATGGTTATGGACAGTAACATCTCTCAAGAGCTCAAGAGTCTCCCTGCTAAACAAGAAATTTAACTTTTTGTTTGTTTGTTTGTTTTTGTTTTTTGAGACAGGGTTTCTCTGTGTAGCCTTGGCTGTCCTGGACTTGCTTTATAGACCAGGCTGGCCTCAAACTCACAGCAATCTGCTGCCTCTGCTTCCCTGAGTGCTGGGATTACAGGTGTGCACCATGGTGCCTGGCTGATTTAACTCTTTTTCAACTACCCTCTAAATAACCATTTGCCCAGAGAGCAAAATCCTATCTGACATTAACGAACTATTGGCTACACTCTTAGGCAAGCCTGTATGTGTCCATCTATTGACAAAATTCCAACTTCCCTTCTCCTTTCATACTAACCGGGGAGGCCGCAAAGCCAGCAGTAAGCACATGATCTCCAGTACTTGGACAACAGTACCTGGTGCCCTCACTTAGCATGAGGTCATGACTCTGCCGGCTAGGAGTCCACGCCTTCTCTTTTCCCCTAGGCTTCAGTCTATGGTTCTGTGCCATATTCAGCACGTCCCAGGCCCTGACAACAGTCCTTCCCAAGAGTTGCCATCCAGTCACATACAACCCTTAATCATTTCTTTAGTCTCCTTGATTCAGCACACTATCCCCTAGACAATACTGCCTAGTTCATGCTGCCTGTCAACTCTGCCTTTCTAGGACTGATACCCAGGGTCCAAAAGTCTGCTGAATCTGGCTGTCCTAAGGGTCTGGGGCCTCTACATCCTACACTACTCCTATCTGCTTCTGTTGAAACCCCAGGAGATGGTTCACTGTGCTTTAGCAAATCCCAGTTACACAGGCTAAACAGAATGAATATTCAAACCAAAAAAGATTTCTATTTACAGGCAAAGAAAATATCAAGTGCTTAGAAAACCCCATTTCTTTGGTAACTTGGTAAATACTTGTCAATCAAATGGAAATTAGATGAGCTAGCAAATAAAGCCAGAGCCAATGGTTCAAGGTTTCTTCTTGCCACTAGTAGTATGTGTGTGTGTGTGTGTGTGTGTGTGTTTGTGTGTGTGTGTGTGTGTGTGTATGTGTGTGGTGTGTGTCCATATGTTTTATCTTACCTTGGCTGGTAACTGGATGGTATCAATGAGTATCTGCCGAACCTCGTGTAATCCGCCAATCTTGTCCCAGCCCAGGTCTCTAGGTTTATGCAGGTTGACATTTCGCAGAGAAGCAGGAAGAAATCCATGAAGAGCCTTTTGGAAGTCTGATGTTGTTAAAGTCAATTCTGTTTAAAAAATAAACAAAGTCAGGGAGGAGGGAGGTACAGGGGGGATACAAAGTGAATAAACTGTAATTAATAAACATAAAAAATAAACAAAGTCCTTTTTTATTTAATTTTAGATAAGATCTCACTAAGTACCCATAGTGCTGCAAACACACAGAGATCAGCCTGCCTCTGCCTCATGAGTGACGGGATTAAAGATGTGACCTCTAAGCCCAACTCAACTCTAGAACATGCTGTCATACTGGATGGAAATGCCAGATTTCTACCAGATACTGCATGAAGCCGGGTGTGTGTGATTCTGGCTCGGCTATGACTACACCCCCACAGCAGAAAGAAGTTCAGGGTGTGTACACATACCTGCCCTCGTGGAGCTATGCTGACGAGAGAGATAAGCGTGCACAGCTCGGTCCACAAGAACTGTAAAATCTCTAGCCACAAACCCTTCAGTGTCTTTAGCTATGCGCTGCAGGTCCAACTCAGGGGAATTGTTTACATCGTAGCCCAGTTTATTTTTCACGACGTTATACAGAATTTCACATCTCTGTTCCTTAAGAAAATACACAAAATTGCAATTATTAATTTTTCATTGGTACATTTTACTAGTTATATGTCACTTAGCAATGGGAGTGATCAGAGAAATGCCTCATCAGGCAATTTCACCACTGTATGAACAGAGTACAGTTCCACACACTGAGCTGGTACAGATGTCTAGACACCCAACACTGTGTGGTATGGTCGGCTGCTCTGCCACACGCACTCAATGACTGCGTCCACTCCCAGCATATGCTGCTCCCAGCTGCCTTCACCCCGGCGTGTGAGGATGTGTGCCCACACCCTCAGCATGCGATGGAGAGCTGTCTAATTGTTGAAGTCAGAGAGAACCACTAATTAGATGTCAAGGTCGGGTCCAGCCTTTTCCTTCAAAATTCCAAATACTTTGCTTCTGCCACAATGCTATCAGAGGGCTATATTTCTGTGTCTTGTCTAAAATTAGACTTCAAGCATTCCTCAGGAAATTTTCTAAAACACAATCATTCAAGACTGCCATTTCTTTCTCCAGTAAGGCACATTTTAAGTAACATCTGGTTCTTAAGAGGTTTTTTTGGTTTGGTTTTTGTTCGATAACATTTAAAAAAAACATACTCAATGGCCAATCTGCTGGATAGTTTTACGTCAACTTGATACAAGCTACAGTCATCAGAGAGGAAGGAGCCTCAGTTAAGAAAATGCCTCCATAAGATCCAGCTGTAAGGCATCTTCTTAGTTAGTGATTGATGTGGAAGGGTCCAGCCCATCGTGGGTGGTGCCAGCCATAGACTGGTGGTCCTGGGCTCTATAGGAAGGCAGGCTGAGCAATCCACGAAGAGCAAGTCAGTAAGCAGCACCTGTCCATGCCCTCTGCAGCAGCTCCTACATCCACGTTTCTGCCCCATTTGAATCCCTGCCCTTGCTGCTTTTGAGGATGAAACTGTGTGTAAAGTAAACCCTTTTTCCTCATCAAGTTGCTTTTGGCAATTGTGTTTCATCACAGCAACAGTGACTTTAACTATGACAACCAATATCACTATCACTTCTCCTCTTCTCTTTTCTGGTGTTGGGTACTGACTGCAGGGCCTTTCACACATGCCAGGAAAGCTCTTTATCACTGAGTTCAGCCCTCTGTGACACAGAGTAATTGGCCAATACTTCTGCTTTTTCAGTAACAGTTAAAAGGCAAAGAGTCTGAGTGTTGAGGAAGGATACTAGACAAGAACCTTAAACAAAATTCTTAAGTATCTCCAGTGTTCTTATCAGTCTGTGCTTATCCTTCTGCTGGTGGTCACTGAATGCTTGGTGAGCATAAGGTCCTGAAGTGGGCAGGGATGCTTCACCAAACTATAAAAAGATGTCTACATGTCATCCCCAATTAGAAGAAATACTAACTTTAAGACAGCCACTTCTGGCTGGAGAGACGGCTCAGCCGTTAAGGCTAGGAACACAGCCAAAAATACAAGAAAGCCATTTCCTTAGCAAGTACATAACATTTCAGATGGTTATAAATTATAACCCGCGCTCTTAAACTGCACAGGTTGCTCTTAAATATCTGCACACTCTCCTAGAAGCGGTAACTATTAAAACAAAAGCAATTTCCAAGAAATACAACACAGTGCAATAACCCGTATAAGTAGCAGATTACCTGATTAGGAGGTTGAATGTGCAGGACACACTGGAACATATGAATTCCTTGAGCAGAAACAAGTGAGGGATGTAGAGAGTGTTGGGACTGGCTTGTAGCGATGAGTGCGACCAAACTTCCCATAGAAACAAAGTCTTTGATCATATCGTTCAAAGCTAGGATGAAGTAATACAGCATAAAGCCCAGGAAAAAACATGAAAAATCAAAACTGTATATTCATTAAAATACTAATAACTTATTGAGCTAGAAGATTGAATGGCTCCGTCATGCTTTTTAAAAACATTAGTTGTAGCTATCTGTTGAATCAGAGACAAGTATAGAAGGTTCTGTAACTCAGAACATGTCTACTGAGGTTCTATACTCCTGGACCTTATAAAGTAAATGAATCAAAAATAGAAGTGAATATTCTAGAAGTACAGTGAATGTCCGTACTGTCATGGTTATTTAGCAGAACAGGCCGTGTATCTAACACTTCCTCAATAACTTCTTTCTCTCCAAGGCTCAATGAAGTTTGGCTAAAGAGATCAGAACTGAAATAAGCTTCAGTGATACTGAGTCCTGATCCAGAGATTTGCAGCCTTCCTTGCACAGAGATTAACACAGGGGCATCTAGGAATGTGTGCAAAAGTAGTCAACAGATTACAAAACTCCACTCTGGTATCAACTCTAGTTAATCCAATGGAAGTCACTCTTGTTATAATTTGTGTTGATTTCAGAGCCCTAGAACCATGAGGCAATGCTGTCAATCGTTGTAGCCCTCCCTCCCCATCAGGTCTCTCTTCAGACTCAAAGACACAATCATGGTGTGTTCCCCAACATTTTAAACTCTCTTCCAGCTTGGCCCCTTTCCCTGTGAGCTATACTTTGTCTGCTGCTTATTAATTTTCCCCTTTGCATTAACGCTCGGCTCGGTTCCCAACCTCTCTGGAAGCTCTCCTTGTAACAGTGGAGCGCACCTCACTTTGTCTGGGCTAGATGCTCTCACAACACAGTAAACGTCCTTCTAGGACAGTGCATCTTGCCACCTTATAGGTGGTTCACCTGGTCCAGTTACTTACAGCTGTTACTTTCCATTTACTGACTTAGAAAGCCAGGAGTTACCACACGTACGATCAACGCAAGCCCTTTTCCAGAAACAGCATTCTCTAGAGCAGCCACTGTTATTACCACTACCCTATACTGAAATTGCTTCCTCTCCTCCTGACTTTGAGAAGGCTAAATACAGATAAGTATTCAAAAAGTATCTGTCAATGAAACAGGAGTGAGAGTAAGTCTGTCTCGCACGTGAAGTAGAGCGAGAAGGTCAGCCACGAAGTCAGGGGTTCTCCCTGCTCTTGCTCTGTCATTTCCTAATACAGAGCTAGAGAAGGCTACCAGGTGCTCAAAGCAACACACAACAAGCACATATACCATTCCCTTAAAATGGTAGATTTAGGCCTGGTGAGATGCTTCAGCAGATAAAGTCATGTGACACCAAGCCAGACAACCTCAGTTTAATCTCCAGGACCCACAAGGTGGAAGGAGAGAAGAAACTCCAGAAAACTGTCCTCTGACCCTCATATCTACCCTCAGGAACACACATGCCACCCCCACCAACAAATGCACAAGTGATAAATAAATACAACTATTTAAAATTTTAAAAAATGGATTAATCATTAAAACAAAAAATGTTGACTGACAAATGAAGAAGCTCCTAAACCAGCAGGGACCATTACCATGTGCAAGGCGTTGGCTCTGCACTGCTTCAGGGCTGTGCTCATGTTCTGGGGCAGCTGGCAGTCCAGCAATGAGGTCCAGGTCATCCAGCAGAACCACAGACGGCTGCCTCCAGGCTGCCTCTGAGAGAGCCAGCTCTAGGGCTTTTTGTATACTTTCAAGCCTTTTTCCTAAACACAGAAGATGTGGTTTCAGTGTTATCTCAAGGCTGGAAAGTTTATGCTCCTCTTGAAAGCACTAGAAGAACTCAGTATCAGTTTATCTGTAAAAATTAAACCCATGTTTTATTACTATGCCAATCAAAACAAACTTGTTAATCACTGACGTGTCCAACTCCTAAGACTCAAACTGTATCAAAAAGGAAAGAAGTATGCTACTCTGACTCTTGTCTATGTATGCACTCGCTCTCACTACAGAGCTGCAGAGAGCTGACAGCTGCGAAATAAAAAGGATGTAGAAGACATAAACCAGAGTAAGGCTCCGGCTCTAAATCAAACCCTACTAGTTGCCTGGAGATCCTGACGTTCCTATATGTGAACGACATGTTTGGATTCAGGTTTGTTACAGGTGTGGTACAAAGTTTTAATTTCCAAAAGACAGAAAATTTATAGATCTGTAAGCTAATGCAGAAGTTTCCTGATACTTAAGCTCTAAGCTAAATTTCATAAGCCTTCAAAAAGGATTAAAACCTTGTTTATAGCAAATGAAATAATGAGTTTCAAAAACTACCTCTCACTTGCTTTGATATACATATTTTTACTTATTCTTTGAGACTTTCATACATCTGTACAATGTTTTATTTCTTACTTTTTAAATTTGCACTCAGCAAAATCATGAGCTACAAAGACTAGGGGTGGGGGTTAGGGGGATGTTAGTGGAAATTAACATCCAGAAGGAAATTAATTGTTCAAAGTGAAACTGTTTCAACCTCTTGTTTTAAATCAATAATAATAATATAAATATATTTTTAAAAATATACAAGTGGGCTGGGCAGTGTTGCCTCACGTCTTTAATCCCAGCACTCAGGAGGCAGAGGCAGATAGATCTCTGTGAGTTCAAGGCCAGCCTGGTCAACAGAGTGAGGTCCAGGACAGTCAATGATACACAGAGAGACACTGTTTTGAAAAACAAAAAAAGAACAAACCGAAAAACAAAAACAAAACAAAACAAAAAAACAACCAAATAAGCAAAAACCAAACAAAACCCATAAGTGTTACAAGGTCAATTGTAATTCTTTTTGTTGCCATCCAGAGCCACCCATTTACCCTCTCAGACCATGAACTCTACTAATTGCAGCAACTCAAAGATCAAGTACAGATTTAAATGGGGCATACTCTAGACACTGGGAATGACATATGTTGATATTTCTAAGAGCAGAGTCTATAGAGCATTTACTTAAAAAAAAGGCTTCCATCAGATTGTCAAAGAGTCTGAGGGGTTTTTATCACAAACATCAGGATGACAAAGTCTTCAAGTTTCTAAGGTATTTTCTTTTTAAGACAGGTCTCTGTGTGTAGCCTTGGATATCCTGGAACTCACTCTGGCCTTGAACTTACAGAGATCCACCTGCCTCTGCCTCCTAAGTGCTGGAATTAAAGGCATGTGCCACCACACCCAGCTTCCAAATTTGTAAGAATTTTCAATAACTAAAAGACAAAATAAAAGTTTAAAAAGTATATAGCTGTATCTATTAAGAGCATTAATAATACATTCCTGTCTACAAAAGTGGGGGGTTATGTGGAATGTTCATTCTTACCTCGTAAAGCTTTGCAGTCAACTATCTCCACACGGGCATCAAGAACGTCGTGCGCTTCCTTACAGACGGCTTTGGCTAATGTTGATTTCCCGCTTCCCTGAAAAACCATCACATCATCAGAACTCTAATTGGGTTTAGCTATAGAGGCAGCTCTGTCACTGCAGCAACCATGAGGCTTCAGCCTCGTTGATTGATAAGTAGACCCAATCCAGTCGCAGTGTGGGAGTCTGTGCTACTGAAATAAGGCTCGTAAAATGTTAGGCACCCTGTGTTCATTAGAGTGCAGAGACAGAAACAAACTCATTTCTACACCTGCTAGTTAATACGACATATAACATACTTTATTGAGACAATATATTAATGATTAACATATAAATGATTAATTATATTAATATATAAATAAAATAATTTTTGAAATAAGACATTCTGATTTAATTTCAATGATTTTAATGAGAAAAGTAGATTATTACTCATCCTATTGCCTTGAATGAAATAATTTTAATTACTGCTTTCTTGAGGATTTACGGCCAGTACTGTGATACCAATTAATGTGAAGTACAACCTTCAGTCACTTTTTTTCCTATGACAGACATGATTATATGGCTTGTTTTACCAGATTAGGTTTTATCATGTTGGTCCGTCTGACCCTGAACTTAACATCTCCCTGCCCCAGTTTTCGGAGTGGCTGGGATTACAGGCATGCATCACAGCTCCTGACAGGTAATTCAGCTGCCAGGATTGCCTATTTTTACATAAGAACAAAGGATGCAACACTGGCTGATGGTCAATGAGCATTTTTTATTTTTTTAAACACATGCTTTGGTTTATTTCTCATTCTAAAATAATATGTAAAAATTAAAACAATCATACTTAGTAAAGAAAAATGAAAGAACTTATATAATCATTCTACCCTACATTAACCATTTTAATATTTTCATGCTTCTAAGC